GACCCAGACATGCCATTAGAAAATTGTAAGTTAGCACTTGACTGCATCTAAAAGAAAATCTAACCAAAGCTGGTGGTAAGAGAGGGGCTTCTGTTTCTCACCAGACGGGAGGCAGCCGCGGGCACCTGACGCGGGGGGTGTGGTGGGGAGCTCAGGGCTACCATCCGCCCATCGTTGACCTCTCAGCTCCAGGAGCCTCTCCAGACCTCTCTGCCTGGGTCCAATCCCTCATCAACTTTTCTCAACACACCTTGGGTCTCTCTGCATGGTTGTAAGTTTGTACTTCTTTGCACGATTCTAGGTTTCCCTGCTGTCTTCCTAAACAGACCCCATCTGGATTTGCTCATTTTTGTGTCCCAGCATCTAGCACAATGCCCAATGTAGGGGCGGTGGCTCCATGTGAACTTCATCAACACACACAGGAGCACCATGCATGCATGCGTGAGCGAGTGAGAAGAAAACTGCAACCCTCCTACCCGAGAAGCGTTTTCTCCCCGGGATGGGGGTGGGGTGGGGAGGCAGGGACAGCCAGTGATGTCACAAGAGGTGGCTGGGACAGAAGGTTCTGGAAGGTTGAAGGGGATAAAAGGGCTGTCAGGGAGGGAAACTGCCCACCTTCCTGCTTCTTGTCACTACCACTATCTTGGCTGGACCCAGACAGTGACAAGGGTTGGGAAGAGACAGCACATGTTCAGGTTTCCAGGAGAGGCAATCTGTTTATCACCTTTGCGGAAGAAGGAAACACCTTGAGGGTCCAGATGCCTCAGCTGCCAGTGCCGCGCTGTGATGGTCAGACCCACACCTTGTGAAGAGTGGCAGGTGCCAGTGGTATGGGAGAGGGGGACAGGGGCTCCCTTGGGGTACAGCATCTCACTGTCATTCAGCAGTGTATTCACTAGGATTTGGTCTCACCAGAGACACACATTTTGGGCTTGAGCTAGGCTCTTAGTGTCTTTTCTGTTGCAATTTCTTATTGGTTGCTGCCAGCATATAGAATGCTATTGCCTTTTGAATATTGATCTTCTGCCTGGTCACCTTACAAAATGTATTTCTTTTTTTAAAAAAGATTGTATGTATTTATTTTTAGAGAGGGGAAGGGAGGGAAGAATAGAGGGAGAGAAACACCAGTGTGTGGTTGCCTCTCAAGTGTCCCCTATTGGGGATGTGGACTGCAACCCAGACATGTGCCCTGCCTGGGAATTGAACCAGTGACCCTTTAGTTCACAGGTTGGTGCTCAATCCACTGAGCCACACCAGCTAGGACCAAAACTCTTCTTTCTAATAGCTCCTTAGTTGAAAGGATAATACAGGTACTCAAATTACTTGGAAAGTGACAATGTTGTTTCCAATCTTTATTCCTTTCATTTCTTTTTCTTATCTGACTACATTGGCTAAAAACCCCCAGTCAATGCTGAATATTATAAATCAGTGGCAGCTGATTTGTCTTAATCCTGACTTCATGGAAATTCTCCCAGTGCTTTTCTTGCCGCTAAATATCGTTCCAGAACATTTTCATCACCCCAAAATGAAATCCCACCCCCGTTAGCAATCGCTCCCCATCCCGCTGCCCAGCCCCTGGCAACCACTGACCCACTTCCTGTCGCTATGGACGTGCCTGTTCTGGACATTCCGCATAAATGGAATCCTACAGTACAGTAGTGCCCCTCACCTGTGGTTTCACTTGCTGCAATCCAAAAATATTAAATGGAAAATTCCACCCCACTTCATCTCACCACGTATGAATTACATCATCTTGTTACCAAACAGTTTTTAGGGTTCTGCTGCCAGCTGCTGCCCCCTAGGCAAAAATTCCAGAGGCAAAGTTTTGATGAAAAAGGAAAGGAGTCTTTATTCGAAAGCAGTTGCTTAAGCCTATCAAGTCACAACTTTAATCACTTAAACTTATCAAGCAAGGCTAAACTCGTAAACCCTGAGTTCTTTCTCGTTCTGTTTTTAGTTATCTTGTTTCTACAGAGTTAGTTTACAAACCAAAAACAACATAACACACAAAAATTACACAATTTTGGAAGAATGGTAGGCTTTTGCCTCAGAGCCTGCTCCCTCTTAGAACACCCAAGGAATAAACCCGCCACCCTCTGCCAGGCCAGCCCAGTCCCAGACTGTGCCGGAGTCCCTTCCCATCCAAAATACCGTCTGTTGGGAAACGCGGACAACCGCAGCACAATCCCCCGGGCATCCTCCAGGAGGAAGGGCCTGAGAGCGAGCCTGGGAGCCGGAGGAGGCAGCTCGGGAGCCGGAGAGCCAGCCCTCTTTTTATTTCCATTGGCTCTGGAGGCGTTCAGCTCCTCAGCCAATCCCGTCCTACACTGCCCACAGTCGCCTCAGCAAACTCCTCCTTCGGCCCCTCCCTACCTCGCCCCGGTGATCCGAGGTACCTTAATCAGATCTCTCAGTAGCAATCCCCTGTCATCACAAGAAGAGTGAGTGCAGTACAAGAAGATATTTTGACAGAGAGCACATTCACATAACTTTTATTACAGTATAGTGTTTTGATTATTCTATTTTATTATTAGTTATTGTGAATCTCTTACTGTGCCTAATTTATAAATTAAACTTAATCATAGCTCTGTATGGATAGGAAAAACAGAGCATATGTAGGGTTCGAGGCTCATCCTGTTACTGTCTGAATTGATCTTTGTTCCTTCCCTGTCTGTTTCTCCCACTGCCACCCCCGGGGCTGGGGGGTGGTTTGGCCCCAGTGCCCGGAGCACTGCCTGCACACAGAGGTTGCTCAGGAGACACAAGGGGACAAGAACAGCCAGGACCCGGATGGAACCCTCTCCTTCTCTCTTGCTGAGCGGGCAAGAAAGATTCTTGCTGGTGGTGAAGTTTGTAAGAGCTCAGGGCAGGCCCCCAATGGCTGCAGGCTCTTGGGGACTTCATGATACCACACCCGTCATCCCTCAGTCCCCCTTCCCCTTCTCAGGGCATCGGCGGTCAACACTGGGGTCAGATGGCCTGCATTTCGCTTTATGATCGAAAAGGAGGTAATGGCTTCTTAGACCAGAGACATGCACATTTTTTTCGTGAGTCATAAACATGTATACATATCCATGTATACATATACAAACGGTCACCTTCTTTATACATTGTCCTGAGTCTTGATTTTTTTATTTAATATTCTGTCTTGGGGAACACCCCATTTCAGTAACAATCAAAAAATTGTTCTGGTGTGTTGGTTTTTTTTTAATATTGAGGTGAGATTCACATAAGATAAAATTAACCACTTTAAAGTGGTTAAAAGTAACCATTTAGCACATTCACAATCTTGTGCAACCATCACCTCTATTTAATTCCAAAACATTTTCATCATTTGCATGAGGAAATAGTCCTACCTATGAGCCCTTGACAACCACTAATTTATTTTCTGTCTCTGTGGCTGTGCCTGTTCTGGACATTTCGTGTGAGTGGAATCACACACATCATGTGGCCTCTTGTGTCTGGTTCCTCGGACCGAGCAGCGTGTCCTCGGGTCCATCCACGCTGTAGCGAGGGTCAGGGTTTCCTTCCTTTTCATGGCTGAATAATACTCCGGTGTGTGCATGGACCACATGCTGTCACTCCTTCATTGTGGATGGATGTTTGGGTTTCGTAAACTGTGTTGCTATGAACGTGAGCTTGCATGCCTGGTATTTTTCCACAGGTCTAGAATCCTCCACCACATGAATGCTCCATAGTGTATGTTACTAGTCTTCTGTTGCTGCATGTCTACATTTTCTCTAGTCTTTTAGTGCTGCAGTGACTATCCTTTGTACATAGTTTAAGTATCTGTCAGGTGAGCAATTCTTTGATGTTTCCTATTTACTTTGGTTTGTCCTAATGGGTGTTCTATTTCCAATTCTAACTCTGTCAAAACAGACATTTTCTGAATGTCCTTTATGGTGGCCACAGCTTGTCTTGTGCCTGGTGTGAGGTAGATCTTTCATGACAGTTTTATTGTTTTTAATATTTTATCCTAAATTTCACTGTGGGGGGGATATACAAATTTGGTGTATAATAAACACACTTTTTTTCTTTTTTTTTAGTTTGCCAAGGTAAACTTTCTTTTATAAGGCTTTAATTGACTGGAAGAAATTTTTCGGTTTAGGCTGATGAAATGCTATCACCATGTAACATATCTGGAAAAGAGATGAAGCCTTTTTAACAACTAATACATAATTGACATGAACAAGACCAAGTCTCTAGAGAAAATGAGAACCTATTTGCTAATCAGTTATTTTCTTTTTATATTTTTATCTTTAGTAATACCCGAAAACCCAATGAATTAGCCACAGAATATTTTTAAATTGCTCATTTTAAGATGTATAATACACTTCTCCCACATATAGTAGAGTTTACTTTTTTTGGTGTACAGTTCTATGAGGTTTGACAAATGCATGGAGTCAGGTACCCACCAACAGTCAGATGCCGTATGTTTCCGTCACCCCCAAATTCCCTCATGTTTCCTCTCCGTAGTTAGCCCCTCTTTTTTCCTGCCATAGCCTCTAGCAACCTCAGACCTGTTCTCCGTCACTATAGTTTTGCCTTTTCCAAAGTGACAAATGAAATGATCAAGCATGCGGTCTTTTCAATCTGTCTTCTTCCACTCAATGTAACGCCTTTAAGACTTGCTCAGATGGTTGTATCAGTAGTTCATTCCTCTTCGTTGCTGAGGTTCATTGCATGGATGTATCACAGGGAGGTGGGCGGGGGGGTAAGGTGCTTTCCCTTGGGGGACTTCAAAGCATTTTCTTACCTGTAAGATCACATATAGACTTGACCCCTATAGTCCAATGTTTCAGGGACTTTTGGAAACTCACAGATGGAATACTCTCAGTCACGCTATGACCTGGCATATGAGCCTCTCTCCTTCCCTCCTAGGTCCGGAGCAGTCATGGCTCATGATCGGGGATTCTAGGCAGACGTGACCAGAGAATGGGGGTTGTCTCTGCCCGCAGCCCCATTGGCAGCCCTACTAAGTGCCCCTTTGTGCCTTGCAGTACTGTGAAGAATGGTCTCTGCAGACCTGGAAGGGCTGAAACCCCAGCAAGTCAAGAAGAGGAGGCTGAGAACCTTGCAGTAAACATGAGTAAAACAAAAGGCATGTTGTGGGAGAGAGAAAGGGGCACTGACGCAGCCAAGGCTCATCCTAAGGGAGCCTGGCCCGGAGCGTCAGGGCACAGCCATCCTGGGCCTGAGCCCCCGGGGCGGGGTGCCCTCCCACTAATAAGGAGTGCAGGCTTGTGATTTCAGAGCCTCATTTGTATGTTTGTATCACAGCAGCATTGACAACAGTACCTTCCTATTAGGAGGTGAGTCCGTGAGGGAGGAACCATATGTATCTACATCTCAGATATAATTATATATATACAGTGCAGGTGTAACATATATACTGTTAATGTATTTGTGCATTTATGACACAGATGTAATAATATATAGTACAGATGCAATTATATACATATATAGTGCAGTTATAATATATATGGCACAAATATAATTGTAAATATACACATATAGGGCAGATGTAATATTACATATATGTGCAGATATATAGTGCAGATGTGATACATATAGTACAGCTATAATACAGGGGTGGGCAAAAGTATGTTTGCAGTTGTTCATATGGTTATGATTATGACAATAGCTTTATTAACTCAAAAGAATGTCACAACGGGCCCTGGCTCGTGTGGCTCAGTGGATGGACCACTGGACTGTGAACCAAAAGGTCACTGGTTCGATTCCCAGTCAGGACTCATCCTGGGTTGCAGGCCAGGTCCCCAGTGGGGGGTGCTTGAGAGGCAACCACGCACTGATGTTTCTCTCCTTCTCTTTCTCCCTCCCTTCCCCTGTCAAAAAAAATAAATAAAATCTTAGAAAAAAAAAAAGGAATGTCACAACAGCACAGTGTACTTAGGTATAATCTTGTAAGTGCTCAAATTACCACCTTCATTATTTGCACATTCTTGTAGTCTACTTGCTACACTCAAGCACACTGTGACACAGTGTTCTTTATTGTCATATATTGTCTTTATTCTTGCCCATCCCTGTATATATAGTGATGATGTAATATATAATGCAGATGTAATAATATATATAGTGCAGAATATTATATATAGACAAGATGTAATATATAGTACAGATGTAATAGTATATATAGTGCAGGGGTAATATATATAGTACAGATGTAATATATAGTGGTGATTTAATATTATATAGAGAGCAGGAGAATCTATATAGAGACCAGATGTAATATATAGTACCGATGTAGTATGTGATATATATAGTGAAGATGTAATATTATGTATAGTGCAGACATAGTAATAATGACTTGTTATCATTTTGTTGTAACCATTTTACTGCCCAAACAACTCAGCGAGCACCATGTGATGATAAAGCGCCTTCATTCTTTTGCAGCTGCCCTCCCCAAGTGGATACAATGTTGGCAAGAATGATAAACTTCACATTCTCAAAACCAATATTCTTCAAAACCTCATTTTGGTCGTTGCATTAGATTCCTGGGACGGCCATAACATAGCACCCTGGACCAGGTGGCCAAAACAACAGAAACGTACGGTCTCCCAGCTCTGGGGGCCAGAAGTCCAAAATCCAGGGGTTAGCCAGGTTCCCCTGGAGGCCGCGATGAAGCATCTCTCCCATCCTGCGGGGGGCTGCCGGGGGCTGCTGGGGGTCCTTGGCGTTCCTCGGTTCCACCCTCCCTCGCTCCAGCTCCGCCACTGAATTTGCGTGGCCTTCTACTCTGTGCATCTCGATGTCCTCACTTCTTCTTCTAAGGACACCAGTCACTGGACAAAGGGCCCTCCCTCCATCCAGGATGATTTCTTCTTGAGATCCTCAATGATTTCACCTGCAAAGATCTTATTTTCAAATAAGGTCACAGTCTGAGATTCTGGGCATGAACTTGGAGGGTACACTGCCCACCCCACGGCAGTCATTAAACTCTCCCCACCCACATTCAGGAGATGTCCCTCCGCACTTTTGTCCAGTTTAAAGCTTCTCCCCAGGTGTCGGTCTGGACGCCAGGAGCGCGGGCGGGGAGGGGTGAGCTGAGCTTCGATCGCCTCAGTGGTGTTTTCAGGGTGCCCCGGCTCCACGAGGGGACTTTGTTGTAAGCTGGTGCTGAGTCCCAGTGCTGATTCTCCTTAGGGAGGAGGAACCTCTATGAACCAGCCTTCCTTTGTTGTAGTTTGTTATGGGTTGATGTGCATCCCCCGGCTGTGGCCTGAATGTTTGCATCCCCCCTGTTCATATGTTGAAACCTATCTGCCCCACCCCCCACCGTGTGATGGTATTAGGGGGTGACTAGGTCCTGAGGGTGGAGCCCTCCTGAGTGGGACTGGTGCCCTGGGGGAACAGAGGCCCCAAGGAGCTCCCTCCCCGCTTCTGCCAGGCGAGGACCCAGTGAGAAGGCACCGCGGTCTGTGAACCAGGAGGCAGGGGCACGGAATCAGCTGGAAATTGGATCTTTCTCCTCCCCACCTCCAGAACTGTGATAAATAAACCCCTGTTGTTTCTCAAGGACCCAGGTGATGGTCTTTTGTTGTAGCAGCCCAGGATTTACGGGACGCAGCCCTAACAGCCGGTACTTCAGGATGTGACTCGATTTGTAATCAGGGTGGTCGTTGCTGATAGGATGGGTCTTAATCCAATATGACTGGTGTCCTTATAAAAAGGGGAAATTCAGACGCAGACGTGCCCGCAGGGAGAACACCACAGGAAGACGAAGGCAGAGGTCAGGGCAATGCTTCCGTTAGAAGCCAAGGAACTCCAAGGATCGCCAGCCAACCACCGGATGCACGAAGGGGAGAGGGGGGAACAGATTCTTCATCAGGGCCTCAGGAGGAAGAACAACTGGCCAACACTTCGATCTCAGACTTTTTGTCTCCAGAATTGGGGAGAGTACATTTCGGTTGTTTCAGCCCCCCCGCCTAGAGCGCAGGCACACCCCCTTTTCCCACCTCACTCCATTGCACTTTGCAGACACTGTGTTTTTCACAAATTGCAGGTTTGTGGCAATCCTGCTTTGACAAGCCTATCAGCACCATTTTTCCAACAGGTTTAGATAATGGTTAGCATTTTTTTTTTTAGCAATGAAGTATTTTTAAATTACAGTGTCTGCATTGTTTTCTTATACATAGTGCCACTTAATTCCGGACTATGGACCATTCATCCAGATGGAGAAGTCCTTCTGAGGTTTTCAAAACATGGGCCCGGCCATGAGACCCCAGTGACCATCCCAGAATTTTTCAAGGAGTCAGTCAGCCGATTTGGGACTTATCCAGCTCTTGCATCAAAGAACGGCAAAAAATGGGAAGTACTGAATTTCAACCAGTACTACGAGGCTTGTCGGAAGGCTGCGAGGGCCTTGATCAAGGTGAACGCATCCCCCTTCCTTCCTTCCTACCTTCCTTCCTTCCTTCCTTCCTTCCTTCCTTCCTTCCTTCCTTCCTCCCTGCCTTTCTTCCTTCCTTCCCTCTCCCTCTCCCTCCCTTCCTTATTATTTATTCAATCATTCATTCAGAATAGGAAATACATATATGTACACACACACACATGGTACAAAATCCACAAGACACCACAGGATACAAAGGATAACCTGAATATTTTCCCTCCAATTCTTGACTCCTTCTGTATGAAGGCAGCCGCCATTGCCAGTATTTGTACAAAACACTACGTCCTTCTAGAGAATAAATTATGTGTATATATTATATAATTTCTCTATATGTAAATTTTTACATACGTGGTAGCACACTATACCCATGGTTCTGCACCTTGTTTTTTTCCCTTTAGCATAGTATCTCTATGTATAAGCTACTTCTGCATAACAAATCACTGCTAAATTTAGTGATTTAAAATGAAAAACATTATCTCAGTTCCTATGGGTCACAAATCCAGGAGAGGCTTAGTTGGATACTAGACTTCTGCTGTAGGGCCTCTCACGAGGCCGCGGCCAGGCTGTCAGCTGGGGCTGCCTCATTGGAAGGACACCAGGGCTCGAGGGTTTACTTCTAAGCTGGTTATTGGCAGGAGGCCTCCCTTCCTTGCTCCGCGGCTTCCCCCATAGGGTGTCCTGGGAGTGTTTTCATAATACGGCAGCCGGCCTCCCCGAGAATGAGGGATCCAAAGAGAGTATGAACAATATGGGAGCCATGATATCTTTTTATATCCTAATCATATCTTTTATAACCCATGCTATCACTTCCTCCATATTCTACTGGTTACACAGAACAACCTCAATGCAGTGAGGGAGCAGACTATGTGAGGGCACAAGTATCAGGGATGAGGGTCGTGGAGGGCCATCTCGAAGGCTGGCTCCCACACGCTGAGATCCCTCTGTACTGATTTATTTTTTTGAAATCCACATTCTTTTCAACAACTGTAACTATGTAGGCAACAGAATGGACTTAACCAGCCCCCTTCTGGTGTGCACTTAAGTTGTTTCTAGCCTTTGCTACCATGCATGGTGCCACTGTGAGCCTCCTCTGTACAACAAATTCTTACCCAGAGGTGCCTGTGTGCCCACTCAAATGGGTGAGAGGATCTGCTTGCCTATGTTCTTGCCAACATCATATTATCAAAAATGTGCATCTTTGCCAGTTTGATAGGCGTGTGAGGCAGATTCTAAGATGACCCCGAGATTCCCAGCCCCTGGTATGTTCATGCTTATAGTCTCCTCTCCTTGAGCATGGGCAGGACTTGTGGCTATGAAGGGCTTTTTCTCCTGTGGTGGCAAAGGTGAAGAGGTTTAGATGTCATTAAGGTCTCTAATCAGTTGACTGTGAGTTCATCAAAAGGACAAATGCTCAGGGTGGGCCGGACTTAATCAGGCGAAGCACAAAAGGCGAGATTCTCCTGCTGGCCCTGAGGAGACCAACCGCAGTGTTGTGGACAGGGCCATGGGGCAGGGGATGGCAGACAGCCACTAGGAGTTGAGATCCGTCTTCAGCTGACCGCTACCAAGAAAACAGGACCTCAGTCATTCAACCACAAGGAATAAATTCTGCAAACAATGTATGCGTGCGAGAGAGGATTCCATGCCTCAGAGGAGGCTGCAGTCCCTGCTGAGGTCCTCATTGCCGCTCTGGGAGATCCTAAGCAGAGGACCCCGTCAGATTGCCCCCAGCCTCCTGACCTGTGGAAACTGAGATAGTAAATGTGTGCTCTTTGAAGCTGCTAGCTTTGTGGTAATGTGCAATGCAGCAATAGACAATGAATGTAATAGATGTCTCCCATTGTAGAAAGGTATCTGCTGGTGGCTTTGATATACAGGAAATCAAGTCACATTTTGACCTCCACCCCAGTTGCTCTCTCCCCTTCCCCGATGCCCAAGCGTCTCTTTGTGGAGAGGCTGTGGGACGTCTCAATTAGGAACCATCTGCTCGGACTGGTGTCTCCTTGGCTGCCCCACCCAGGGCCACGTGCTGTGGTTAGCTCACCTCTCCTGAAGGGCAATCCTTGTCAGCCAAGCCCTTGGCTGTGGAGCTGAAGGAGGCTCTGCTCTCCAAATCTCGGAGATCCAATCAGAAATACGCCAGTCTATCTACACATGAATAGAGACATACTTCCACAATGAGGACAGCATTTTTTGTCACTAAACAGAAACGCTTGGCATTGTATTCTGAGCATCAGCCGATGCATTCCAAATGCTTCTGTTTTCCCTAAAAACTGGGGTCACTGCCAGCCTTGCCCCATATGACTAAAAGAGCCAACACACTTGGAGTTAGTCCAAACCAAAGGAGTAAGTCTACGGAGGTCACCTTCAAGTCCAGGTTTCCTGGTTCATCCTCAGCCACATTCAGACCAAGGCTACATCTTTAAAAGTGCGATTCATCACCACTGTAGGGTATCACTCTTTGAGTACTTTTCTTATTAAAAACATAAATAAATTCACACTCATTAGAATGTCTATTAATTTTAAAAAGAACATAAAAGAGCATGTGTTGGTGAGGATGTGCAGACATTGGAACCTTCATGTGTTGCTGGTGGGAATGCAGAATGGAGCAGCCACTGTGGAAAACAGTGTGGCAGTTTCTCAAAAAATCAAACACTGAAATGCCGTATGACCCAGCAACTCCGCTTCTGGGTACATACCCAAAAGAATTCAAAGTTAAGACTTGAACGGATATGTATGTGCACACTCGCATTCACAACGGCATTATTCACAACGGCCAAAAAGTGGAAGCAACCCACATATCCATTAACAGATGATGGATAAACACAAGGCGGTCCATCACACAATACTATTCAGTCTTTAAAAGGAAAGAAATTCTGTTCCATGCTACAACATGCATGAACCTTTGAGGACATTATGCTCAGTGAAATAAGCCAGGCACAAAAGGACAAATACTGTATGATTCCATTTATATGAGGCCTCTAGAGGAGTCAAGTTCATAGAGACAGGAAGTAGATGGTGGGAGGCAGGGGCTGGGGGAGAGGGAGGGCGAGTTAGGGTTTAATGGGGACAGAGTTCCCGTTGGGGAAGATGAGAAAGTTCTGGAAATGGATTGCGGGGATGGTCACACAGCATGAGTGTACTTAAATGCCACTGAGCTGTACACTTAAAATTAGCTAAAATGGTACGTTGGTGCTGTAAGTAGTTTACCACAATAAAAAATAAAACATAGAAAAATAAATCACTGGGTTATTATGTAGACAGAGGCAAACCAGTCTCCCAATAGTAACAAAAATCTCACACCCAGATTTTAGCCTCAACGCCGGCTTCTCCGCACACACCTGTGGGCATGGAGCGTGCTCTCCCGCATCCAGTGAGCACATTCCACCAGAAGCACAACAACCGCATGTTTCCGTTTCCTGTTTGTTTGTTTGTTTTTGCCTCCCCAGCTGGGCTTGGAGCGGTTCCACGGAGTCGGCATCCTGGGGTTTAACTCCGTGGAGTGGTTTGTCACTTACCTCGGTGGCATCCTAGCAGGGTAAGACCTTGCACTGTTCACTGTCAGTGTTGTTGAGCTGCGACTCAGGGCCTGGTGCCCCGGGCTAGTTCCGACTGGGCCGTGCGGGGGAGGTGAGACACAGCCCCAGGAGGGCCAGTGAGACAGACGCACAAACCAGTTATCCTGACAAAGGATGGGTGTCTCAAATAGAGAGGGTGCTCAGTAGTAAAACGACAAAAAATTTTGAATGGACAAAGGCGCTGAACAAGAAAGTCACAAAGCAAAATAGGCGATAAGGACTTGAAAAGATGCTCGATGTCAACGGCCATCAGGGAAATGCAGATGAAAACCTGGACGCAATGGTTACAAGCAGGAACCAAGGCTGTGGGAGCGGAACGGGTGCCCGAGCGAGGGTCCAGATCCCGTGGCCCGCGTTCACTCTTTCCGTGGCACTCTGAACAGCGCGCCGGCTCTCAGTTTCCTCATCTATAAAGCGGGGCGCTGTGGGGGTTCCGTGATTTGCTGTCACAATGATATCCCAGGAGTTGCTGTTTTCATCACCATCGTGGTCGTTGTTGTTTTTGTCATTGTTAAGTTGTGGTTGGAGGGAAGCCTGTGCCAAGGCTGCAGGCTCAGAATCTGCCTGTAGGCCCTCCCCCTCCCCCTCCCTTCCAGGACATTCTCCCCTCCCACGTGCACACGTGACAGGCAAGCTTGCTTTTTTTTTCCCAGGGGCCTCTGTGTTGGTATTTATGCCACCAACTCTGCGGAGGCTTGTCAATACGTCATCACTCATGCCAAAGTAAACGTCCTGCTGGTTGAAAATGACCTACAGCTACAGAAAATTCTTTCGGTAAACCCCTACCCGGCACTGCCTGCCAGTCACCCCTGGGGGACCGGGGCTCTGGCCAGGTGTCTCTGTGCTCCCAGACAGATTGTTAAATCAGGTGGGGGCGTGGGGCTTGCCATGGGTTCAGGAAGGGTCCTCCACTTTAGAATAACGGGCAAAGCTGCGTTTGGGGAAGCAGCGTGCACTTGGGGAGTTTAATCTCCAATTCATACTAACTTAATTTCTTTCTCAACTTCCATTTAAAACATGTGTCTTTGCATAATTTTATATACAGCCCACTGCTATTTTTCTTTTAGAAGTGTGATTATTTTAAGCCTTGTAATTTTCTTATAACTGTATTCCTGCAGTGCTTTTGTCTTCCTTGTCTATTTCTTTCCCAAACTCTACCATCTCCTGTATCACATCTGCCTGGTGTCTGGCCCTCTCTTCCCCTCTATGTTTGCTTTGTGTTCTTCCTTCCCAGCTGTGTTTACTTCATTCGGGTTGAAATTATATGCTGGAATGTGGGTTGGCAGTTTTCCTTTGCTTTGTGGTGACTTAGTGAATTTTGGCTCCCCTCTTATTTTCTCTTTTTTTCCCCTTGCAGTATCTTTGTATGAATATTGTAGAAACTTTCCCAATTCCTTGTGTTTGAATGAGCTGCAGTTTCCCAAACCAGCTTTTGGCAGGGAGGTCCTAAGGGGAGAGGAGTCTTGGGGAGGGCGAGCCTCGATCACCAGAATCACTGCTCAGCCTAGGGGCCACTGGGACTGGTTTTAAATATTCCATCACTCCTGAGTTACACATTTCTTCATTCTTTCACATCTCCGGAGTCGAGGTGTGGCTTGCCGTCGACATTGTTCCCCCAGACCATCACTGGCCATGTTTACCCACATTCGAACCTCTCTGAAATTAGGGTTCATCTTCCAGACTCAGGGAAACCCTGGCTGGGCTCAGTGAAACAGGACATGTTGTGCCACCGGGCCTCCTTCGGTCCTGGTGCAGGGAGGACAGATTTCTACCTCCAGCCTTGAGCTCTTTTGAAACTGCTTTCTTAACAAGATGCTCCTGCAGTCCCTGGCGCTCATGTCATGTCCAGTTTCTCTGTTCAAAGCAGAACGCACCGCGGTGGCGGGGGGGGCGGGGGGGGGGAGCGGGGGGGAGGGGCTCGTAAGCAGGATGCTTCTCATTCTTGCCATGAATGCTGGCTTACAATTTGGGTTTTCCCACTGTTAGAAAAAATGCACGCACTGCCTCCTTTCCCCTGCGCACCAGCTTCATTGCTATGCCTTCCTGTCCTTCTTCTGGAATATTTGACCTCACACGCATGAAGCAATATCTGAGTTATTTCCATGTCATTGTTTGACTGAAAGTGCTGTTTGTGGGGGATTTGTGGTTCTGGTTGCTCTGTTTGGAAGCTTCGAAGCCAGGCTCCTGACACGCCCCTCGCAAACTGCACGTTCAGCTCTGCTGGGCGATCTGATTCTGGGCAATACTCATGGCTCATAATCCTCCAGCCCCACAGTGCTCCCCGCCTCCTTTAGAATCAGCTCTCAACTCCTCGTGGTGGCCTTCAAGGCAGCCCGCGTGACCCCCCTGTCCTCTCCTGCCTCTCCCCCTATTCCCCTCCCTTCCGCCCGCGGCCCGGCCTGTCTGACCTGCCTCCTCCTCACACCTCCCAGGCTACTGCCTGCTCCAGGTGTTTGGACGTCTGCTCTCGCTCTCTCTGTCTCTCTGTCTCTGTCTCTGTCTCTGTCTCTGTCTCTCTCTCTCTCTCGGGGAGACTCTTGTCCAGCGGTTGGGAGCACTCCTGTCATACCAGTGACGTGGCTAATATTATAACGAGCATAATGAACACTGGAAGGGAACTTCTCATTGGATTGGCTGGCAATGAGGCCACCCCTTGCTGTGCACGAAGAAGGTACAGGCACCCCCCAGGCCTGGGCCCCTGAACCTTCCAGTTCTCGGGATAGGGAGAGACCTCTGAACCCGTCCATGTCCCAGCCACCGGCACGGCAGATTTTTGTGGCCCGATGCCAACGAGAATGTTCCCTGGACATTGGCTGCATGGTGCACGCTGCCCGCCCGGCAGCTCTGTAGCAGAACTCGGCCCAAGGCACGTGTGTGAGAGAGGCTGTTGCCTTCAGCCACCGTTAGGTGTTGGAGGCTCCCGATACCCCCGCAAAGAACCCAGCAGTCCTAAATTCCATCAAGACAAGGAGCGGTGTTACACAGAAAAGAAAAGGGGAATATAAAGAGGCTGGGGTTGTAGCAGGAGAGAGCTCAGGACTCCCATCAGCTTCTGTTTTTCCCAGGGCTGGGTTGCCTTGAGGCCCACACTGAACTTTCTTTCAGATTCCACAGGGCAAGTTGGAGACCCTGAAAGCAATTGTCCAATACAAGCCTCCAATGAAAGGGAGCAATAAAAGCAACCTGTACTCGGTAAGTGTGGGAGGGGCCACGGGGCCACGGGGAGGGAGAGAACTTTCAAAGGAAGTGGGTAGTGAGCAAGGGAGAGGGCCGGACTCCCCAGGGAAGTCGGTGGGCCTCTTTGACTGGCTTTCCCCAACCCCCCCCCCCCCAGCATGATGGGTACAGCTTAAGCAAAACTATAATTTGTTGACTCCTGTAACTAAAACTCAGTGTGGGTTTCAGTCATGGCTAGAACTAGGGGCTCAAATGTGATCCAAGCTCCATTTTGCCCTCGCAGTTTCTTTTTAAAAATTTACATATTTCTTAAATTTTTAATTTATTGACTTTAGAGAGAAGGGAGGGGGGAGGAACAGACACAGACTTGTTGTTCCATTTATTTATGCATTGATTGACTGATTCTTGTATGTGTCCTGACTGGGGATCAAAACTATGACCTTGGTGTATCAGGATGATGCTCTAGCCAACTGAGCTACCCAGCCAGGGCCCCTCTTGGCTTCTTGACTCCACTCTAGCCTTGCTTTCCCACATAGTCCTGAGATGGTCCAGCAGTTCCTAGGGCTACATATTTACTCATTCTTGTCCAGATAGCATTTACAGCAAAAGATCTGACTTTCCATGTCATTGGACCATCTGAGGTCACGTACCCAGGCCCAATTCAATCACTGTGGCCCACGCAGATGGAACCCTCTGCCTTAAACCAATCAGAGTTGAGTCTGGAATTGGGGGTGGAGTTGGCCACATCAATCTAGTCACTGAGAAATTTGGGGTAGAGAGTGGAATCTGGGAAGGCAGAGATCAAATAACATCTAACTCCACTACCTAAGCATTTTACATATATTTACCGCTTAGAAAAACCCAAGAAGTTGGGTTCTGAAATCATTCCCATCTTACAAATGAGGACACTGAAGCACTGGGGCCTTCAGTGGCCTGCGAGGGCGTGCAGGAACCAGAAGCAAACGCCTGTGCATTGTTGAGCGCCCTCCAGTTGAAGCAACAGCTTTGATAAGAGGAACCAGGACTGGCGATCCTAACTGGAGCTTTCCTCTTGCTGAAAATCAAGCTTTAGGAGAAGCTGACGGGACGAGCTGTGACTGGGAAAAGGGAATGCCTGGCGTTCTGAGTTCACGTCTCACACTCCCTGAGTCCCCACTCTCTATTTGTCTTCTCTTTCCACAGTGGGATGATTTCATGGAGCTGGGCAATAGCATCCCTGATTCCCAGCTGGACAGGATCATAGCGAGCCAGAAGGCCAATCAGTGTGCTGTGCTCGTCTACACTTCCGGGACCATGGGCAACCCCAAAGGAGTGATGCTCAGCCATGACAACGTAAGTGCTGTCTCTGCCAACACTTAGCAGCGTGGTAGCATCCGGGATCCCTCCACTCAAGGACAATGGCCCTCAGGAGGTTTTGCTCTCGACCCACAGAGGCAGTGTGGCATTTAGGGGTCTAGCACACAGCCCTTAACCAGCGGCGTGCAGAGAGTCACGTGGACACTTAGGAGGGGCAGCAGAGTGTGGGGGCTGAGATCAAGGACTTTGGAGCAGACGTGGGTCCAAACCTGACTCTGTGATTTTGGGCAAGACATGTAACACCTCCAAGCCTCAGTTTCTTTGTCTGGGAAATGGATGTGATATATAATAGTCCCTGCTTCATGGGTTGCTCTGAAGATGGTATGAGTTAACATTTGCAAAGAGCTAAGAACTGTGTTTGGTAAGTAAGTGAAAGAGCAGCAAATATGGCCTGTGTTTCAGAGGAAAGCACATGTCGAGGTTTTGATTACTCAGTGAGGCTGCATGTTTTGGGGAACACATATGTCTGGATGGAGTCAAGGCTGATGGTCATTTAGACTGCTGTTATGAAACAAGGGAAATACATGCTAAAAGATTCCATGTATAGAAAACCCTAGAAAATGCAAACTTATCCACAGGGACTGACAGCAGATTGGCGGTTGCCTATGAAGGAGCCTGAGGGAAGCATCACAAAGGGACCCATGGAAATTCGCAGGGGGCGGAGAGCGGTGAAAATGTTCATATTTTGATGATGGCGATGGTTCCACAGGTGTAGACATGTATCAATTTGTGTCAGATTGTACACTTCAAATGTGTGCAGTTCACTGTATGTCAATTATACCTCCATAAGGCTGTAAAAAAAAATGAGACACTAATAGCTCACTTACGTTGTATGATCACAGACACTGTGCCGAGTTTTGCACTCAGAAAATCCTCACAGCGATTCTACTGATTCTATCAGGCAGATTCTATTTGTACAGATGAGAAAGTGAAGCCCAGAGAGGTTCAATTACTTGGCTCAGGTCACACAGCAAGCAACATGGTGGAGCCAGGATTTGCGCCCAGGCAAGCTGGCTCCACAGTCACATTTTCAATTGCACTGTAGATCTGGGTGGCTAACGCGAGATGTCCAAAGATGCAAGGTAAACAAGTAACAGGTAGTTGCAGAACAGTACACAGAATACAATATGATTTTGTTATAAACTAAAAAAGGCAACAAGCTATGTGCACCTGTGTAAGTTTTAAAAGCAGAAAAATGTCTGGCAGCGCACGCACTCAACTAGCCATGGCGGCTCCCCCGTGTCAGACAGATTGCAAGTCTTTAAATGAAGCTTTGCAACCTTATAAGAGCTTTCCCCGCCAACCTAGCTTAATAGAAATCAGCACACACTGGTCTTCGCACTGGCCATTCCCTCTGCATATCAGAGAGCTACGTGCTTGCTCCTTTACCTCCTTCCCATCCCCGTTCATACATTACCTCCTCTGTGAAGCCCTTCCTGGTTTCTATGCTTAAAACAGCAGACAATAAACAATTCCATTGATCCCTCATCTCCTCTGGCTGCTGCATGTTTTTCTACACTGTCATATTACATAGTCATTTGTTTATCATGAACATCAGCTCCTTGAGGGCAGGAGTTGTCTGTCTTGTTCACTGCTGTGTCTACAGTGCCTGACACATAGGAGGACTCAGTCCACTTTTGTGGAATGAATGAATGAATGAATGAATGAAAGGCATCTGCTTAAACTCCCACCTGACCCTGGCCAGCATTAATACTCCTAGTGGCCTCATATCTGGTGAGATATTTTCCTAGCCTTGAAGTGACAAGCATGACCCTAGATTGAGGCCTCTCAGGTTTGAATGCTGGCTCTCCCACCTCCTAGATGTATGACCTGGGACAAGATCCTTAACTCCTCTGGAACTCAGTTTCCCCACCTGTAAAACAGAGATGAGAATGGTTTCTACTCTGAGAGTTGCCATGGAGGTTAAATTACTTCATATACTGTGTCAGTTAGCTACTGCAGCGTAACAAGTCATTTGAGAACTTAACGACTTAAAACACCAACAGTGTGACATATCTGGGTCTGGAATTTGGGCAGGGCCCAGCCGGGTGTTTCTTCTGCTGCAAGCAGTGTCGGCTGGGGTCACTCAGCTGTATTCAGCTGATGTCTGGGTGGGCAGAAAAATCCAAAAAGGACTTCATTCACATGTTTCTTGTGGCTTGAACATCCTCACAGCACAGTGGCTCAAGGTTGTTGAACTTCTTAACCTGGCGGCTGGCTTACCCCAGAGCAAAGATTCCCTTATACCAAGGCAGAAGCTGCCATCTTTGACGGCTCAACATCAGAAGAAACAATGTCATTCTGCTCCTTCTGTTGGTCGACAAGTCACTGGACCAGTCCTGTGAAAGGAAAGGAAAACAGACTCCAGCTCTGTGGAGGGCGGCAGGGAATTTGCTGCTGTCTGTAACTTACCACACATAAATTAAGTCCTTAGAGCACTGCCTGGCCCACAGTGAGCCTCATCAGTATTAGCTATTGTAACTTTTAAAGTCCTCCTCCTTCTCCTTTTTATAGTAAGAAGTTAAAGCTAGCCCAATATTCTCAACATATACCAACAACTCAAAGTTTCTCTCACTTATAGGGTACTAACTATGTACCATACTGAGATAAACACGTGTTCATTTCTCACAAAAACCCCATGGGTGAGTTGTATCATTAATGCCTTTCACAGACGGGGAAACCGAGACTCAGAGAGGGGAAATGACTTGCTCAAAGTCACAGAACAAAGGAAGGTCTGAGCCAGGATCTGAGCCCAGGAGTATCTACACCACTACACATCACGGTCTACACACGCCAAGCCTCCTCCCTCGGTAAATGGGGATGGGATGCCTTGGAGCGTAGGCTGTGCATGACCATGCTTACGGCACAAAAGTAAGACCCTTCAATCCCATGGCCCAGAGAGGGAAGTGGGACTAATCTTGAAGGCCTCCTATGGACCAATTGCTCTGCATTTGTTACTGTGCTTAAGCCTTTCGACCTCCTCATTCACACATTCACTCAAGGAAAATGTATTGAGCATGGACTATGTGCTGGGGATAGAGTATTGAACAAACAGACCCAACTGTGGCCCTCAGAAAGACATAGAAGGAATGAACAAGTGAAACCATTTTTTCTCCAAAGATGACAGCCAGGTGGCCAGCACACACATGAAAAGTTGCTCATCATCACTGATCATCAGGGAAATGCAAATCAAAACCACCATGAGATACCACCTCACCCCTGTCAGAATGGCCATCAATAAATCAACAAAGAACAATGGTTGGCAAGGACGTGAAGAAAACACGACCATTGTGCACCGTTGGTGGGATTATATAGTGAGTGGTGCAGCCACTACAGAAAACAGCACGGAAGCTCCTCAAAAAATTAAAAATAGAACTACCCTATGACCCAGCAATTCCACTTCTGGGTGTTTATCCAAAGAATCCAAAATGCTAATTCTAAAGATAAATGCATGGCTATGTTCATTGCGGCGTTATTTACAATAGCCAGGATATGGGAGCAGCCCAAGTGCCCGTCAACAGACGGTTGGATAAAGATGAGGTGGTACATGTTTATTTATACGTGTAATAGAATATTACCCTGCCATAAAAAGAAATGAAATCTTGCCATTTGAGACAACATAGATGGACCTGGAGGATGTTATGTTTAGTGAAGTAAGTCAGACAGGGAAAGACCAATGATTTCACTTATATAAGTGAACAAAACAGAAACAGATCCATAGATAGAGAACAAGCTGATGGTTGCCAAAGGAAAGAGGGGTGGAGGGAGGGGAGTACGGAAAAAATGTTAAATACAATAAAATAAAACCATTCAGGTTCTGGCGAGTGGTCTCTAGAGAAGTAGGCAACGGAAACTTCAGTTTGGCTGGTATGAGGTCCTCTCTGCGTTGACGACATTTAAGCGGAAACTTAACATGTGAAAAGGAGCCAGTCATGGGGAAGGCTGGACAGACAGTGGTCCGGGCAGAGGGAACAGGCAGTGCAAAGGCCCTGAGGCTGGCCCCTGTCTGGTGTGATGCATGAACAGCACAAAGGCCCATGTGGCTGGATTAGTGAGGTAACTGCTTACCAGAGATTTATGATGCCAGTGAAAATTACAGACTGCAAAATTAGGCATATGCTTAAATTTTACATCGAGGCACACAAGGGAGAAAAAAACATTAACATGCTAATCGTTAGAGTGTTTATGGGATGGGGTTGTGGGTGGCCTCTTCGTTTGTTGGACAGCATTGGTTCCAGAATTTTATTCTGGGCAGGGGACACCTCTGTGCCCATTTTACAGATGAGGAAATAGAGGCGGCAAAGGATTTTAAGCAAGAAGCCCACAATCACTCAGCTAGCAAACGGCGGAGTCAGGACTTGATTGAGGAACACTTACTGAATCCTTCAGATTTCTAACTTCCCAGGTAGACGGTCTGACTGTAGGATCGATTGTTGGACTCAAAGCTGTTGCTGAATTTTACAGCTCCTTCCAGCCTCAGGCAAGTTAGTTAACTCTCTGTGCTTCTGTTTTCTATCTGTGAAATAGGGACAATCGTAGTCACCAGCCCCCGCGTGACCCCAGTGTGTTACGGTGAGGAGTAAACAACTGAACGTTTGTAAAGGACGACGGTCGTGCCCGTCACCTAGTAGATGCTTTGGGTTCTTTAAGTGGCCCTCCAGCCAGGACAAGATGCCCTAGATTGTGATCTTGTGTTCCAGATCACGTGGTTGGCTGGGACAGTGGCGAGGGACTGCAGCCTGTCTTGCGCCCCGGAAAAGCAGGAGGTGGCGGTTAGCTATCTGCCCCTCAGCCACATCGCAGCTCAGATGATGGACGTCTGGGTGCCCATGAAGATCGGGGCTTTCATCTACTTCGCTCAGCCAGACGCTCTCAAGGTGAGGCTGGGGGCAGCCTGGGGCGCACGGGCGGCTTCGGCGAGCCCCAGCGCCAGGGCCTCCTTCTCGTCCTCATCTCACGCTTCACTTAGCCGCCTCGGGAACGGTTGACCGCATTCTTGTACTTTTTATCTTTACCCAAGTCAGGGTGCCCATGTAGATTGCACACTGACCAACCCAAGACTAAGATGTGAATGACGCTGAAAGCAGAATGCATGTGTGGGTTTTATTTTTAAAGTCAGTATTCCCAACCCCCAAAGGTTCCCCCGACCACACCCATCTCAAGACCCTTCACTTACTCTCATCTGCAAAGTCCCTTTTGCTATGAAAGACAACATTCACAGGTTTGGGCCTTAGGATGTGAGTATCTTGGGAGGGTGTCGTGGTTCTGCCTTCCACACTGCATCAAACAGGCTGTCTTAGTGCCTTTGTAATTCCTCCAACAAGGCCCATTCTCCTGTTCTCTTGCGACTGATGACCTCTTGCCATTTTGTTCTCTGCTTAAATTTCTCCTTGGCCCCTCTCATATCCCCCAAACTCAGTGTCTGACATGCAGTCAATAAATAGCTTCACTTTTTGGCTGAATGCAAAATGTATATGCATACACTCGCTTACAGGACCTGGGAAGTTCCTTTCTCTCGCCTCCCTTCCAACCTCATAATATTATTAAAAAAAAACTTTAAAACAATCAACCCGAAGGGTGAGAAATGTATCTGTCACAGTTTAAGGAAAAGCTAGGCTTTTCCAAAGTGACCACCTCATTTTATATTCCCACCAGAAGTATAGGAGAGTTCCCCTTTCTCCTCCTCCTCACTAACAAGTTATTGTCATCATCATTATTGCCATCCTGGTGGATGTGAAGTAGCATCCTATTACGTTAATTGCCATTTCCCTAATGACTCATGGTGGCGAACAAGTTTTCATGTGCTTATTGGCCGTTTGTATATCTTCTCTGGAAAAAAGTCTGTTCACATCTTTGCCCATTTAAAAATATGGTTCCATGTCTTATTGGTGAGTTTTAAGGGTTCTTTATACATTCTAGATATATATTATTTCTTAAATATATGATTTACAAGTACTTTCTCCAAGATCTGTGGCTTGTCTTTTTGTTTTGACTCTGAAGTTCATTTTCTTTTTTTTTTTCTCATGCTTTTGCTTTTTTATAAGAAATCATTGCTCAACACAAAGGAGCAGAGATTTTCTTCTATGTGTTCTTCTAGAAGCTTTTTAGTTTTAGCTCTTACATTTAGGTTGGCAATCCATTTAGAGAAGGAAGGCTCTAGGCTAAGTTATTTTCATTTTTAATTTTTTGGGGAGATATGAATATCCTTTATGCCATTTGATTGTCTCAGCACTTTGATTGTCAACTGATCACAAATGTAAAGATCCATCTCTGGCTTTTCTATTCTGTTCCATTGATCTATGTGTTTATTCTTACACCCAAACCACACTAACTTGGCTTTTCTGGCTTTATGGTAGGATAACTGCCTTTTCCCAGTTTGCCCAGGACTTTTCCAGTTTCATAAGTGAAAATCCCCCATTACCGGGACTCCTTTAGTTCTGGGCAAATGAGGATGGTTGAGGATCCTACTTAATGATAAATTTCAAAATCAGTTAGTAATCCCTTCAATTCTTTTTCCCAAAATTGCTTTGGCTATTCTAGGTCCTCCGCATTTCCATATCGATTTTAAGATCAGCTTGTCAATTTGCATGAACAAGTCTGCCTGGATTTTGATAGGCATTGCATTGAACCTATAGATCGGTTTAGGGGGACTTTTGTATCCTTTTAAACAGTTGCATAATATTCCATTGCATGCTCAGGCAACAGATTTTTAAATGCCTGCCACTCTCCACTCTAGAGAGAGAGAATCTGATTAGTTCCTGACCAGCCAATGGGTTGGCTTGCTCAGCCTGGTCCAATCAGCCAAGAGAAGTTTTTCCTGGACTGAGTTGAGTGGCTGGGCAGAGATGGACATTTAGGGTCCAGGAAGGCTCAGGTGTGGCTAACCCAGCTCTGTCCCACCAGGGCACCTTGGTCAGCACTCTGCAGGAGGTAAAGCCTACTGTCTTCATGGGGGTCCCCCGAATCTGGGAGAAGATAGAGGAGAAGATAAAGGAAAGTGGTGCCAAATCCTCAAACTTGAGGAAGAAAGTGTTTTCATGGGCCAGAACTGTTGGCTTAAAGGTCAATACCAAAAGGATGTTGGATGTGGGGTAGGTGGCGGGCCCAGTCGGCCAGATGGGGAGGGTGGTGGGTGAGAGGCTCAGCCTTTTCCAGCTGAACCCATCAGCCCATTTTGGACGCGTGGCTAAAGAGCTCTCCTTGGCATTGTTGACAGGACACACGACAATCCCATGAGCTACCGTATGGCGAAGGCACTTGTGTTCAGCAAAGTCACGAACACCCTTGGCCTTGATCACTGCCACACTTTTATCAGCGGGGCTGCGCCCCTCAGCCTAGAGACCTCTGAGTTCTTCCTAAGCCTCGACATGCCTATAGGCGAGATGTATGGTTTGACCGAAAGCACAGGACCTCACACCATATGCAGTGGGGATAACTACAGGCTTCTAAGGTAATGGCCTCCTCAACAGACCCCCGGTCCTCCAACAACACCGGGTGAGGGGCAGGAAGATGGGCAGGTGGATGCGCCTCTGGGCTCGGGTGGATTCTGACTTGTCTCCAGAGTGATCCCTGTTCTCCAGCTCCCAAGCCCTAAAGCGTCAGCTCCAGTTTGTCAGAGAGCCTCGGACGCGGGGAAGCGCTCGCAACGCCCCGTGCCTCCCCCTGATAGCCACTGCCGAGTTCTGCCCCCAGACAGACCGCCCCGGGCTCATCTGCAGGGACCTCAGGACCCTCGTCTCTGCGATTCTCCATCTCGAACATGTCCACGGGCCCTCTCTGGCTTTCTCCCAAGCTCAGCTACCCGCAGGCTGCAGGCCTGAACCCAGTAACACTGAAACAGACAGGATACTGAAGGCAAGGTCAACCCGAGTCTGAGAGCCATGTTCACTCTGGTCGTCCTCTTCCTTCCCTGTTGCAAGTCCGGCTAGTGCCTCATGTTTGGCCAGGTTCCAAACGCCTTTAAACTTAGAAAAAACTAAGTTCAGTCTTCCTAATCTGACAAAAGCATCTCTTGCCTTTTACTTTGCCTCGCAGGGGAGATTTGCACCTCAGTATCTCCCCCTCTCCACTCCACAGTCCTATCTGAGGTCTGTTTTCTGCAGAACCCAAATGTCCACTGGAGTTTTCCCAAAACTAAAGGGTGGTCCTTCCCTACAGAGAAGTGACACAGTCCCAACCCCAGAGGAAAGGTACAAAGTCCAGCCTCTATCTTTAACTATTTTTTTCCAATGAGGATTAAATGCATGAATGCGCGCATGCGCGAGCACGCACGCACGGGTGCACACACACACACACACACACACACACAGGCAGAAGGTATGAACTGAGAGAGTGAAATGCTCCCTCCTCCCCGCTCCAAACCTCCTATTCACCCTGGATGAGTTTGCTGGGCTGCCATAACAAAGTTCCCCACAACCTAAACAACAGAAATTGATTTCCTCACAATGCAGAGAGGAGAAGTCCAAGATCAAGGTGTCTGCAGTGCTGGTTCTTTCTGAAACCTGCAAGAAAGAATCTGTTCCATGCTCTCTCCCAGCTTCTGGGGGTCACTGGCAACCTCCAGTGTCCCTTGGCTTGTAGAAGCACCACCCTCGTTCCTGCCTTCATGTTCACATGGCGTCTCCCCATGTGTGTGTCTGTGTCCAAATTTCCCCCTTTTTAATAAAGATACCAGTCGTACTGGATTGGGGGCCATGCTACTCCAGTATGACCTCATCGTAATTCAACCAATTACATCTACAAAGACTATTTCCAAATAAGTTCATATTCTGAGATACCAGGAGTTAGGATGCAAGCTATGAACTCGGAGACATAATTCAACCCATAATACTCTCCTAGAGGCAAAATAACCACACTGTATTGTTAAAACTTAACCTGGCATATGAGTGCATTGACATATATCCTTTTAGCCCAAACAGAAGCATTTCCCATGTAAAAATGGACATGAAATCCATCCTTCTGCTATGAGTTCAGGAACCAAAAAATTCAGATAACATGATATCCCTCACTGTCTGGATTCATAATACAAACATCCACTCAGTCTTGACTTGCGCCATCCTCGCTCAGGAACCAAACAAATTCGATTAGTAAGGGATTCTTACGGACAATGCTCCCTATCAGTGCCAACAGCTGCTTCATTTTTAACAACTGTGTAGTATTCCACCGGGTGGATATACCACAATTTATTTAATTGGTCCCTTTTTTGGTAGATATTTAGGGCCTTTTTCTCCATTATTTGTCACCATAAACAATGTTAAAGTGAATGGGTTGTATATATACCATATGTTAGCTAAACCATTGGAAGACAATGGGGTCCCATCAGAACTTGCATTGACATTCCTTTCATTATAAATGACGTTGAAAAGAATCCTTTCATACATTTCAAAGCCATCTGTACGTCCCTTTCTCTGAATTACCTGTCCATATCATCTTCCCCCTTTTAAAACCGGATCACCAGTCCCTTTATTATCGGTCCGTTGGCACTCTGTATATTAGGAAAATCGGCCCTTTGTTTTTTTTATGTGAGTGGCAAATATTTTACCCCTAAGTTTGTCATTGGAATTTAGTTTTACTTAAGGTATTTTTCACTGTGCAGAGTTTTTTACATCTTTACATGGTTAAATTTATTAATATCTTTTTTACGGCTTCAATGCTTTTCCACATTCCTAGAGAGACCCTCAGTGGGGAAGTCAGGGGGACGCTCTTAGTAAATGCTGAGCTGTTTGGGGGTGAGCCTTTCCTTTTACTAACTAAGGGAACCCCTACAATTAGCCTTAAAACCACTGGCCCTCCAACCAATGAAAGAGATCTCAGTAGAGCCATAATACTTTCTGTTCTGCAATCTACAATAAAACCACCCTCCCAAATGTTATCTCTAGGAAGAGAGGTCTTACAAGGATCCAGATTTCAGATGGTGCTATTCTGTCTTATGGAAGCAACTTTGACCTCTGAAGAGATTCTGGTCGGTTGCCCAGTCGCTGTGTGCAGGACTACATACCTGTTTTCTGAAAGATGAGGTGGTTTTGTTGCTATTCTTAAGCCAGGAGCACTTTGTCCTTCTCCCATTTATGTGGATGTTAAAACCTACAACTCTGCCCTGTGTCCCAGTTCACCAAGCGTTTGGGAATTTGACTCCGTGGATTGAACACTCCCTCTCCCCCTTGTTCGGCAAACACCTCCTTCTGCCCCCAGGCCCTGGAGAGGGTGAAAGGAGCAGATCTGGCCTGGGCCTGCTGAGCAGGGCATTAGGAGCCTGCGCTACAGACCGAGGCTGCCCTCTGTGGGTGACCTCGTCTCTCTGAGACTCAACTTCCCCCCTCCCATTCATTGGCAGCTGCGGCAAAATCATAAGCGGGTGTAAAAACATGCTGTATCAGCAGAGCACCGATGGCACTGGGGAGATCTGCATCTGGGGCCGGCACGTGTTCATGGGCTACCTGGAAAGGCAGGAGGACACCGTGGCAGTCATCGACGAGGAAGGCTGGCTACACACGGGGGACTTGGGCCGTGTGGACAACCAGGGTTTCCTCTATATCACTGGCCGCATCAAAGGTACGGGGAACGGGCTCTGTGGGGGTCTCCTGCAAGCAGGTCCACCCTGAACATGTAAAGGCCTTGCACAGCAGCGCACACACAGGCCCTCGGCTGCCGCCTCCCACGGATATACAGGGTCACCCTGATCTCCACACCCCAGCTCTGTCCTTGTGCACAGCATTTGGCCCTCAGGAGGATGGACCTGGGAAAGACTACCACCCTAGCCCTGAAACCTGCTTTCTGCCCTGTAATTTGAGTTTCATGATAATCTACAATTATTACAATTAAGTGAGAATTCAATGAAATGATATCGAAGAGGGACTGGTCAACTTTTCCTGTAAAGGGTCTGACCGTAAATGTTGTGGGATTTGCAGGACACATGGTCCCTGTTGCAGCCCCACAAGTTGGCAGAATGTAGCGCAGAAGCGGCCACAGACAATGCAGAGATAAACGGATGTGGCTGTGTGCCCATATGAAAGCCATACAATTTTCACATGTCATAAATATTATCCTGCTTTGGATTTCCTTCCAACCATTTAAAAACGTAAAAACCAATTTTGGCTTGAGGCCACATGAAAGCAGACAGGAGGCTGGATTTGGCTCTCAGGCTGTGGTTCACCAGCCTCTGAAGTAGACAGAGCATTCGGTGCTGAGCCTGGCACAGGGAGTAACTATTCAATAAGTGGGCTGTGTTAGCCTTATTTCCATGATAAGCAACGGAAAACCCTTCTTAAATAGGTCTGAGTGAAAGAGGGAAACTTGTTTCAGACACTAAAAACATCCAAAAGTTCTTGCTTCAGGCATGGCTGGATCCAGGCGCCAAAACAATGGCACATGAATCTCTTTATTCTTCTCTTACTGAGCTATCTTCTGTATTGGGGCCATTCTTGAAGAGCCTCTTCCCTGTTTGGTTACAGGATGGCTGCCAACGGTCTAGCTTACCCTGCCTAACCCCCAAGGGATGAGTCTGTTATTCCCCATAGTTTCAGCAACAGTCTAGCCCTGGCGCTCACTGGGTACCATCTCAGAATGAAGCCCTGGAGAGGATGAGGTGTAATGATGGGTCAGACCTGGCCACATGCTCACCCTGCAGTTTACCTGCCCAAACCACGTCAAGATGGAGAGCAGTTCCCTAAGGAAACATTAGGGTGCATTTACCCACAGGAGGAGTCACTGGGCAGACAATATCACGCATGCCCCTTACGTGATCATACTATGACTCATGCTATAATGATATCAGTAAAGGGGACTGCAAGATCCTGAGATGAGACGGAGAGAGCTTTGGGGGGGGGGGTGTGGAACAGGGAGCAGCCAGCCTCCCAGGATGAAAGGACAAGTGAAGAATGTGCCTGGGGCAGGAGGAGGAGTTCTTGGAGAATTTTAGAGGCTGGGGGAGAAAGTGACACAGTATTTTTAGACATGCCAAAATTAGGGATGCGACACAAAACCTCTGGGTAAGACTGGACTTAGGTTATTTTGGGGTTGCCAAGTGATGGAAAAATCAGGTGACAGAGAAGGGGTTGGCCAGAAGCATTTCACCATCTCCAGACGACATACCGGAGGGCCGGGGCGAAAGCATGGGGGATCGGGAAACAGGCAATGAGTCGCTAAGTCGCTGTCCAAGTGGAATGCACAGGATTTGGATACTTCAGGGGAATTTGAAGAAAATAAGGGAGGAGGGTCTGTAGCTTGGAGAAGGGCATGGTGGGAGTCCTGGCCAAGGGCAGCGTTCCTCTTCTGTGTCTCGGTTTTCTAGGTGAGTGGCTGTCCCTGCCAGTATCTGTCTCCTCAGATCCTCGAGCGGGGGGTGGGGGGGTTTATATTGTCATAGTTGAACCCATATGGAAGCATGTGTTGTTTCAGAAATCCTCATCACAGCTGGCGGCGAGAATGTGCCCCCTGTTCCTATCGAGAACATGGTTAAGGAAAGTATTCCCATCGTCAGTAACGCCCTGTTAGTGGGAGATAAGGCAAAGTTCCTAAGCATCCTGCTGACGCTGAAGGTAACGCGGGTGTCCTGTGGGGTCTCTGCCTCAGGGTCCAGAGGGTGCGCCCCTGTGGGTTCAAGACCTTCTCCTTGAACCTCAGGGCTGTCTGGGGAGTGTGTGTAGGTGTTGAGTGTGGTGACAGGGTGTCCTGGGGCAGTGTGAGACGGACCAGATGACCGGAGAGCCGCTGGACCAGCTCAGCTGGGAGGCCATCATGTTCTGCCAGTACCTGGGGAGCCACGCGTCCACGGTGTCTGAGATCGTGCAGCAGAGAGACCCCCTGGTCTACATGGCCATCCAGAAAGGCATAGACGCTGTGAACCAGAAAGTCACCTCTAAGGCGCAGAAGATTCAGAAGTGGGTCATCCTGGAAAAGGACTTTTCCACCCACGGCGGGGAGCTGGGTGAGTGGCCTGGAGTGCTGGTGGCCTTGGCACTTGGAGGCCGGTTGCTGGCTAGTGTCCAAGGCCACATGGGCTCTGAGACATGCCCTATTCTAGGGGTCAGAGGGCCTGTGGGACCAGCTGGGGAGAGAGAGAGGGACATTGCCACTTCCGTCTGTCCGGTGCCCGGCTGCCCCCGACCACATGCACATGCACACGCAGTCCCTTCTCCCCAGGGCAGCCACATCCCCCGCTCTGGGAATAAAAGCCAAATTCCTTACTATGGCTCCACGTGAGCTGTCTCCTTCTGACCTCTCCTTGTCACTTGCTCCACCCAGGTGACGGCAAAGGCACTGCACCCAGGAAGCGGGCCACCAGCTAGCCCCAGCCATGCAAACCCTCTTGTCTGGTCATGCACAGGGCATGTGGACTTTTACTTTATCTCCACAACTGAACTGGTTTCTCCTTTCTCAACAGGTCCAACTAAAAAGATTAGGAGACAGTTCATCACCCAGAAATACAAAAAGCAAATAGAAAACCTCTATCACTGACTTGACTGGCAGAGCGGCTCTCGGCTGTCCTGAGGGTGAGACTGGCTTTCCTGGGCTGCGCCTCTAACGAGTCCAGCAGAGGCGGCCTCCCGCGCGGCAGGCAGGGTCCGTGAACAGGACTGGCGAGGCCGCGCGCGCATGCGCAATACGCGTTCGCGTTCGGTGGCCTTGGGATCTGGGGAGCGTCTGGCTTCAGCCGGAGCTCTCTCGCCAGGGCCCGGGCAGGGCACTCTCCTCCATGGCTGGCCACCAGTGTCGTCAGTTGTTCTCCTGGCTTTTTCCGCTTGTGTCCAAGAGGGAGCAGAGCAGGCTTTCCATCCAGGATCGCAGTTTTTTGTCAAACACCCAAATGTGCCGTGGCTTATCTGGAGAAGGCTTTTGCCAGAAACTGTGGTCGCGGGATGTACTACTTGTTAGGAACCCGAGGAATGAAGTGTGTTGGCCCATCACAGGTGGTAAGGGGTGGAGACGTGAACTGCTCCTACCCACTCCTTTTCCCCTCCTTTCCCTCAAGTCCTGTCCAGAGGAGCCCCCATGACACCCTGGGTCCCTAGATGCATGGTGCAGGCAGAGAGCAGAGCGCATGGTCAGTTGTCCTAAGGGCTACCTGTAGCCCTTCCGTGGTCAGACCATTCTCTTCTGACGCCCCCAGCCAACACAACGTCTGTTAGGGCTGCTCTAACAAAGTACCACAGTTGGGTGAGCGTCCATCGACACTGATAGGGAGAGTGGCTCCTCTGAACCCGTGCTATCCAGGGCAGCAGCCGCTGGCCACAGTGTGGCGCCTGTCTGCTGAGGTGTGCTGTAAGTGTAAGATACACACTGGGTTCCGAAGGCTTGGGACCAAACAGAATATAAAAGATCTCATTAATATTTTAAAGTAAACAGAGAATATAAAAGATCCCATTAATATTTTAAAATACTCATTACATGGTAGAATGATAATATTTGAGGTATGCTGGGTTTCATAAAATGTATCATTTAAATCAATTCCACCAGTTCCTTTTTTTTTTTGTAGCTATTAGAACATTTTAAAGTATACAGGCTGTTCACATGATATTCTTCTTGGACAGTGATGCTCTAAAGTTCATTGGAAAGGGATTCAAAGTTTTTAATTTATAAATGGGTCCAGTCATTCGGGAATATTTTCATCTTATGGTAACCCTGGGGTCTCACAGAAGGAATACATTTTTCAAGGATCCCTATGCGATAACTTGTATTTCTCCTTTCTTCAGCCTCCAGCAGGAAGACTCCATCTTGACACATGATTTACTGCTCTGGGTAGGGACTCTCTCTCTTGTTTTTAAGACAGATTCTGTATGCACTGGTCTCTCACTGAAGAGGTATTCCCATGGGGAACTGCCATGCTTTTCAAAGTGACAGGATCTTCATAGCTTTTTGAATTCCAATGAACCTTCAAGGCATGGCCCCTTCCAAAGGAAGCTTATGGGGAGGTCTATGAAGAACTGCTTGTTTTAGAAGAAAGATATGACCTTGTGGTTCCAATTGGACCTTTTTTCTCCACAGAGGACTGACTGAGACATCAGAGAGAAAAGCACTCACAGGTGTGAAGATCGGGGTCCCCGAACTGACTCGCCTTCTGGGAAGCAACTGGGCAACCCTTCCAATCAGTTCCGAAATAAAGCCTCCCGTGTCCAGGCACAAACAGTTTGCCCTTTGTTGCGAAGCTCAGACTCTGAAATCAGTTGTGGCTTCAAATTCTGGCTAGCTGTGTGTGAGTTCAAACTTCTGAGTCTTGAGTGGTGTTTTTATCTGTGAAAACAGACCCCCACCTCACAGGGTGGCTGTGAGGTTCGCAGAGATGACAAACAGAATGCAGCGTCTGATGCCTCATGCATGTTAACAATGATCATGTAAACACCCAGTTGGTCTTGGTTAATAGCTATGATTTTTTTTTTCATTTAGGTAGATTTCAATTAATTTTATTAACACCTATGACCCTGGATGAATTCCATCTTTTGGGCTGAGTTGTGTCATTATAAGGTCCAAAATAATGGCAACTTGAACATGGAAGTTTATTCTCTCATCAAGCAGTCTACAATGGAGAACCCTCCTAAAGCCAGAATTATCTTCCCTAGGGTGGGGCCCTTGTAGTACAGGCAACCCCCACTAGGTGAGTGTTCTAGGAACCCACCTGTATCAGTGTACTAGCTGGCATTGTTGTGAGAGGCTGTGTTTGGCTTCAGTGAATTTTTTTTTTAAGACTCTTTCAGCACATTTGCCCATTTCATGATGGGCGATCTATGAGCGCACCTGCCCACACAGCAGTGAGTGTTCAGCAGTTTCTGACCAAAAATGGTATGACCCCGTGCCCCACACTCCCTATTCACTCCGAGTGACTTTTCTTTGTTTCCCTGGATGAAAAGAGTCCTTGAAGGGAAACGTTTTGCCGATGTGGAAGAGGTGAAACAAAAAATGGCAGCAGCACGAAAATGCATCAAAATTGATGAGTTCAAAAGCTGTTCTGAGCAGCGGGAAAAAAGTCTCCATAGGTGGATTGCATCAAATGGATGGTACTTTGAAGGGGACTGAAGTTGAAGCGTGTAAAAATAAATACCCAATTTTTTATAAATAAATTCCAGGTTTTGGGTTCCCCTTCACATGTACAGGCAGACCAAAGCTGATGTGGCGTATCTATGGCCTTAGTCCCTGAAAAAATATTAGGGGGGAGCAAGGGAGGGGACATCTCTCAGGCCAGAGAAGGACAGCCCATCAGGACAGAAGAAAGAAAACTCTCGGTGTCCCTTAAGGTTCTAGATACCCAGGTGCAGCCCAGAGCACCTTTTCTTTTTAAAGTATAAAATCGTAAGTAGATCAGAACTATACTAAGCCAGCCCTGGCTGGTGTGGCCCTGGTGGTTGGAAGGTTGTCCCATACACTGAAAGGTCACAGGTTTGATTCCCAGGCAGGGCACATACCTAGGTTGCAGGTTTGATCCCTGGTTGGGGTGGGCAACTGGTCCATGTTTCTCTGTCTCTTCCCTTTCCTCACTCTCTAAAATCAATAAAATGTATCCTCGAGTAAGGATTTTTTAAAAGTATAAGGAACCAAATTTTTAGAAAATGTAATACATATAGCCATTCTCCTTGCCCAAAAAAATTAATGCAAAGTAGGTAAGACTTAAGTCAGATTTGATAGTCCTCCTCATCCGTCTGGCAGGTTTTCATTTTTTTAACATGTAAGTTCAGCCAATCCTCTTTATTTGCCAATCCCATGTTTGCAAGCTTGCCCAATTGTTAAAATGTATTTGAAACCCCAAAATCAATGCTCCTGGTGCTTTTGTGGCCATTTGTGGACGTTCACAGAGCAGTGAACAACTTGAATCAACTGACATACATGTTCCCAGTGAAGTTAAATAAGTAACACTCTGCCCCTTTCTTCAACTCATACTGTAAATGCATGTCCTTTCGGGGGGGGGGGGGGGGGGGGGAGTCTGTTTAGTGCCTTTTTTCTTTTCTCTTTTTTTGCACTTTTTTTGGTGATTTTGCTATTGAATATTGCCTCTGACTGCAAGAAGGCTGTAATGTACCTTATGGAAAAAATATATGTGTCAGATAATCTTTGTTCAGGCATGAGTTATAGTGCTATTGGCCATGAAGTCAATGTAAATGAATCAACAATGCATATTAAATAAGGTGACCTTGGGCAGAAACACACAATACAAGGCTATGTATTGATCAGTTGATAAAAGTGTGACCAGAGGCTGCCAGAACCTAACCCTGTATTTCTCCTAAGAGCAATGGTTCACTATTTGCTAATTCAGTGTTCACTGCAACTTTATAGAACATCACTGACTGTATATAAATAGTTATGTGTCACTCTAGGAAAAAGTATGTGAATGTGTGTGTACAATAGGGAGAGGAGAATTCATTTTTATAAAACCCTCACCCGAGACTATGTGAATTGATTTTAGATAGGGAGGAGGAGCGGGGGTGGGGGGGGGAAAGAGAGAGAGGGAGGGAGAGAGAGAGAGAAACACTGATTGGTTGCCTCCCGAACACATCCTGACCAAGGACTGAACACACAACCTAGATATGTGCCCTGACTGGGGATCGAACCCGCAACCTTTTGGTGTTTGGGACAACGCTCCAGTTAACTGAGCCACCCAGCCAGGGTGAGAATTCACTTTTACATATCAAAGTACATAAAAGAGGTATCGTCTCTTCCGGGCAGGGGGAAGCTAGCACAATGGCTGAGGACGTAGAGTGGGAGTAGGGTGGGCAGCCGCAGGGGGATGCAAGCGGCAGGCTCGGAGGCCAGGGTTAGGGAGCTGTGAGGGGAACGCGAGGTGGCAGGCTCAGACATACAGAGCGGCTGAGAGGCTGGATACCTTGAGCAAATATGTAAAAATACCGAAGAAAGTTGAAGCTGAGTTCCTCACTGCCAGAGAAATTAAGGAGAATTAGATTTGAATGGGAGGGACCAGTACGAACTCAGTTTTATAGTGCAGATTCAGACACACAGACAAGTGTCTATATACTTCCTCCTTTCCAACTTGGGTGCCTCTTAGCTTTTATCTGCTTGCTGTGGCGCAATACAAGTTAATATGCCCTTGTAGACTACAAAATCATCTTTTTCAAGTTAAAAAAAAAGAACTGATTTTGGAACCGGACAGGTTTTGAGCCAACAGGTCCTGGACTGTTGTGAAGACGTTATCATGGGGCCAGTTACAGGGCCCTCTTTGGCTCATTTATATGAGTAAAGCACGGCCTGAGTCTGCTCCTGAGGGAACACCCGATGAAGCTAAGTCGAGGGTCATCCTGTGAAATACGAGACCTGTGCCCCTTAAGACTAGCCAGCAATGAAAGCTGGAGAAGGAGTTTCAGATGAAAGGAGCCTGAGGAGGCACGACAACACATGATCCTAGACTGGATCCTGGGGTGGAGAGAAAGACAACGCCCGCTGGGTCAGCTGGGGGCCCACGAGCGGGACGGGAGGCCTGGGGGGTTATGCCGCCGCGCTGACTTCCTGAGGTGGAGGGTTCTCTCCTGGTTGCACAGGACACTGTCTCACACTCGGGAGAGCTTGTGGGAGTAGATCACTCTCAGAGAAAGGCCAGCGATAATCTGAGGTGGGGGGGGGGATGGCGATGGAGGAAATACTGGGACATGTTAAATTGGTGCATCTGCATAAAAGGAGACTTCTCTGTGCTGTTCTGGGAACTTTTCTGTAACCCTGACATTTAATTTTTCAAAATAAATTATTTCAAAGATACACTAGGATACCTGTACTTGATTTTTCTCCCACTTTAAAAACTAAGCTACAGACACCCTCCTCTGCAGGGACAAATACCACCACCTCATTCTCCCCACCGTCTAGCATTCCAGGGTGCGCATTTGCATGGCGCTCCCCCGCTCCCCGTCACTGGACATTTAGGTTGCTGCCACGTGTTCACTAGTGAATGCCACACTACAGTGAGTACCCTTGTATATACGCTGTCCTGTGCATAGGGCGCATCTGTTCGGATTGCTCGTTACACCAGATAGGCTTCTGACGTTTCGACTGTAGTCAGGAAGGCCAGCACGGAGTTCAGTCAGTTGGCCAAGCTCACAGCTGGAGGAAACTCCCAACCACTTGAGCTAGTATAATGAAAGTACAGGCTCGGCACACCTGTCTTGACAAATTCAGTCTGATTTCATATCATTCCTCCCTCCCTGGTGTAGCACCTTTAGAGTCCAAGCCCATATACAGTCCCCAGGGATTTTGTCCAGTATAAATTAGCCAAATCGTGTAAGTCGTTCGCAAGTCTTCATCTCGAAGGTTTGACTTTGCAATTGGCCCCCCGGAGCACTCTGACATTTGCCTCCATTTTAAGTGCGGAAGCAAGGAGTTGTATGCGGCCTTTTTGCATTAAACAGGAGTAACGTTAACGGCTGCCTATACTGGCAAGGAGGCTGAGTGGAATTGGAAGCTGACAAAGTCATCGAAAATTCTCCCAAATGACACCATTACAGTTCTCAGGGTACCACTTTTCTCAAATAATACCCTAACTTTCACACAGAGGTCCAGCAAGGCTGTGCATTGACCCCACAGTATGTAATTCAGCTACCTGTAGCTGGAAAAAGTAAGAGGTCATGGAAGGCATCCACAGAAACTGATTCTCTAAGCATGATTTGAGGTGAGAGTTTGAACTCAGAGCATATTATTATTTTTTAAATCTTCACCCATGGATATAGTTATTGATTTTAGAGAGAGAGGAAAGAGAAAGGAGGGAGGGGGGAGAGAGATGGGGTGGCGGGGGGAGAATGGAACATTGATGTGAGAAATATTGATTGGTTACCTCCCATAGGTGCCAACTGGGAATTGAAACTGCAACCTAGGTATGTGCCGTGACTGGGGACTGAGCCCGCCATTCCCTGGTGTACGGGACAATGCTCCAACCAACGCAACCACTGGGCCAGGGTAGAGCCTCTCATTCTTTAAGTTCTCCCATGTTGTCATCAACAGCCCCCCTACTCAAAGTCCTTGTGATTCTGCTGTCTCCCATGGTGGTCTACTCTTCCTCACTCAGCTAGATCCTTGCCTTTAATGAAAGGACAGAGGCGGAAGATTTTTGATTAACAACGTACTATAAAGCTATATAATCAAGAAAGTCTGGTACTGGTGTAGGGAATGACATGTAGTTCAATAAAACAAAACAGAGAGTCCAGAAACTAAAGTTCACATTTATGGTCAACTGATGTTTCATCAAGGTGCCAAAGTCTTGCAAATAGTAGTGGGGAAAAGATGGCCTTGTCAACAAATCATACTGGAACAGTATGCAAAAGTAAGAAAATAACTTAAGAGAACTTACAATGGCAGAGAAATGGCAGCAGCTGTTACACTGGTGGGGTCGGACTAGACCTTTGGTTGCCTCTTGCACGCACCCTGACTGGGGTCCTGCAACCCAGGCATGTGCCCTGACCAGGAATTGAACCGGTGACCTTTGGCTTTGTGGGGCACCCAACCGAGTGGCACCAGTCAGGGAATCCTTGATGCTGTTTTAATTACTATAGCTTTATAATATGTGTTGATTTTGGTAGGACAAAGGCTCCCTTCATATCACTTTATCTTGTGTTGTATCTATGTGAACTTTAAAACCAACTTCTCATATTCCATAAATATTCCTGTTGGTGTTTTGATTGAAATTAAATTTTGCTGATCTAGGGAAAAATAACTTTTATAAGAGACTGACCATTCATTAAGATGGCGTCTCTTTCAATTTATTTACATTTTAATAAACCTTAATTTTATCCATAACTATCTTGTATAATTTTTGGTGAATTTATTCTAGTCCATAATTTGTGTTTCCATTGTGGATGTGATTTCCCGTTTTCTAGGTGGTTACTGTTGATATAAGGAAACACAGTTGATCTTTGTATGTTAATATTATATCCAGACACTTCACAGCCAAACTATTTCTCAAAATATATATAGGCTTTTTACATACATCAGCATATCTTTCACAAATACTTTCTCACTTCCTTTTCAATATTTATTCATCACTAAGGAAATACAGATAGCTGAATAGATTGTCAAAAATGCTCAAACTCAGTAGGGAAATAAATGTATTTTCTCAACGATTCTCATCCTGGCCGCTAAGTCTCTAGAAGGCAGGCAGGCCTGCTTACACCTTACTTTTAGCCCAATGAAATTTATTTCAGGCTTCTGAACCCCAGAACTGTAGGAAAATAAATTTTTGTTGCAAACAGACAAAAGGCACCAGAGACAAAAGACACATTATCCTCAAAGGGACAACAATGAGATTTTACAGCTCACTTCTCAAACAGGAAGCGTGGAAGCCAAAAGACAATGGAATGTTTTGGAAGTGGCCACCAGCCTAGAATTCTATACCTAGTAAAAGTATCCTTACAAAATAAAGATTAAATGAAAATGTTTTTGGATAAACGACAGCCGAGAGAATTCATAACCGCACTAAGTGAGATGCTAAGGAGAACTCTTCAGGCTTAAGGGAAACTACTGCACAGCGAACCACAAAAGGATGGAAAAGTGACACAGGGCAAATGTGGATAAATACAAATACACTATGAAACTGCCATAAGCAACAACACATACCTGGGCTTGAGTATCAGAAATGCATCTACTAGCTGTATTGCAGTGGGCAGGCAAATGCTGTTTCTTCACCTGCCGATGGAGATTTCTGATGGCAGTACCAACCTTGAGTGCTTGTGAAGAGTCCATGAGATCTTTTTTAAAAAAATCCTCACCAGAGAATGTTTATTGATTTTAGAGAGAGAGGGAGAGGGAGAAAAACATCGATCAGTTGCCTCCTGTATGTGCCCTGACCAGGGATAGAACCTGCAGCCTAGGTATGTGCTCTGACCAGGGATCACACCACCTTTTTTTTTTTTGGGGGGGGGGGGGCGTGTGTATGGAATGATGCTTTAACTGAACCACCTGGCCAGGGCCCATGAGATAATCCTTAGTGCATTGCCTGGCCTGCAGCTGTATTTTTAACACATGAGTATTTCCACTGTATCATGCGAGTGTGGGAAGTGAGAGAACCACTCTAGACTCCTTCACTCAGAACAGAAACTGTCCCAAAAGGCCTACAGAATCTTTCTCTGGTAGGAAAAACATGGACACCAAAGGCCATAGCCCTGATGCTGGAAAAGAATTCTTGGCTACCAACTAGAAGGGAGAGAGGCCTGAGCCTGAGTGTGGCCAGCTGTCTCCCCAGCTGCTGCAGGCAGAATTGCCAGCAGGTACTGGTCTGTAATACTGACCACTTGGCGGTAGAACTTCTTGCTCCTCTATGGGGCTAACCCTAGGATGAACAGGGCTGCTTCAACGGGGCCTGCAAGAGCTTTGTCCCCTTGGGGTTAACTCAGCTCTACCATACTGAGTCCAGAGCAAAATGCACCATGGCCAAACCGACAGACGGGCAGCCTGGCTTCCAAGAAAGAATGTCTTTGCCCGCATCTTTCTTTCTGTCAAGCTTTCCATCATCAGCACATCGCTCTACCCATCTTCTGAAGTCAGGCTTGCTTTCCAACCCAGACCTTGCTGCCAGCATCCAAGGAAAGAACACACCAAAAGCAGGGTCTGAGACCCATTCCCCAACTTGTCCCTCTCAGAGTTCCGGTGGCACAGCTCTCTTCCTCCAGTGCGCCAGCCTCGCTCATACTGTCTTCCCTCCTGCTGGACCCCAGCCCTGTCACCTCTTCCTGGTCGTTGATCCGGAGGCACTGAAACACGGAGAGGAGACAAGAAGCCCCAAGATATTTTGTGGTCCCACCCACCAGCTCCAAAACAGGAGGAAACAAACGGATGCACAGGTCTACACACAGGTTTGCTTTCCCATCTGACTTTATTTCACTTTTTTTTCTATAAAATTCCTCCATAATTTCACAATTTAACAAAAAGTTTAAAATCCAGGACAGAAACAATCCTGTAACTTGTTACAAACACAATTCTCCTTATTCCATTTATCCAGGAGTTGGTCTCAGGCTGGTAAGTGTCCTAGTTCCTAATGAGACACAATCTTTGTAAAAACCCTTATGGGTAAAAAAGGTATTCGATACCTTTTGCTTTCAGGTGTCGGTTTACGTTTTGTTCAGGAGATAGCAAAACACAGGGATTTTCACTGGGGGCAGAGGGCTTAACACTAAACACGCGGCAATCACAAAGTGCCTGCCCCTTCCTATGGAAGCGTCCCCAGAGCCTCGTGGGCCCAGCTGCCAGGCAGCTGGGGGTTGGGGGAGGGGAGCAGCCGGGAATGCTGTGGTTGGGGCCCGGGCTGCCTGGCACGTCCATCGGGTGGTCACGGGCCAGCACTGGGCCCAGAGCAGCTCCAGAGAACAGCACTAGAGGCCTTCCGGCCAGAGGAGGTAACTGAGAAATGGGTCGGTGCTTCCGAAGGCCCTGGAAACAGCAGGAAGCGCCAGATGCCGCTGACACTGAGGATGAGCCAGAGCGCCTCTCTCCGGTGGCCTCTGGTGAGAGCCCGGCTCAAAGCAGAGGGCTGCCTATGTTGCCACATGGAGCCTGCGGCCCTTTCCAGGAGATCCTCGTGAAGGAGAAAGACTACTGCCCTTGAGCAGAGCTTCCTGCCTGTGGCCCCTGGCAGCCTCTGTGCAGAGAGGGCCAGGCAGCTGCTGCCTTTTGAGCAGCCCCTGTTGGGCCAGTTCCTTCCATCCAATGCATCGAAAAGTTTCCAGAGAAGAATGGTGCCCACTTTGGAGTATTGCTGGCCTGTCTGGAGAACAGGACGGTGACAGCACAGGGCCTGCCACACAGACCCGATCTCTTCTTAGTAACTCAAGGCAGTGGGGTCAGGAGAGAATGCGAGTGAATGGCGAGGAGTCATGATGGTTTCCTCTGAAGCTCTCGGGCCTTCCCCGCGGGTTCTGAGGACCTCACCGGGAAGGCCGGAGTTCAGGGAAGCCTTGGACGTGGGGGTCACCAGGGAGTGTTCAGGGTCTGCCTGACAGTGGGTTGGAGAGAGGTGAACCCACATCTGGGCTCCCAGTCCTTTCTCCACATCTTGTTCATGGCAAAAGTTGGGGGGCGGGGGGCGCCTTGATTCAAGGTCTCAGGGAAGCAGGCTCTCAGGAGCCCCACCCGAGGTGGGCTGGCCCCGTGAGGGCCTTCTGACACTGGAAGGTGGGCCAAGGGAGGAGAGACGGCCTGGTCCTTGGAGAATCTCAGGCATTCGAGGGATTAAGTCTCAGGGCTCTGGACAAGTGTGAATGGCAGGTGTCGGAGGGCGACGCCCCAACCTAAGAGAGACAGGTGTGCCAGGGAGGGCCTGCCACCAGCAGGGCCCAGGCATGAGGAGCTGGCTGAGTCCCGACGCTCCTTGAAAAAACTCCACAACTATCATGTCTTATTTGGCAAAAGCTCATTTTTTTCAAAGTTTGAAGACTCGATCAACAGAGAGGAGGAAGAGGATCCTATGGAAGGAAGGAGAGGCCACGGCCCGGGGCGCCGTAACAAGCGGCGGCCTGCAGCCGGCTGGCGCCCAGGAGGCCTGGCCCCGGAGATGGCTGCCAGGCTGACCGGGCGCCCAAGGACCTACTGCTCCATCGTAGTGTTCACAGGCCCTGGACTATGCCTTCTGAGTCCCGGGAGGAGGACGAGGCATCCTTGTACCACTGCGGGAGGATTCCTCCAGAGCCAGTTGGCACTCCGGCTCAGCCTCAGCCCAAAGACAAGACCAGTGGAGACATCTTAACCTAAAAGTCCCACCTTACTCACCCCCCACCCCCCCACGTGCACTGCTGCCACAGAAATGCACACCCAGAAACCGCTCTGGTACCTACAGTGCATACATACATATATAATATAGAGAGAACTATACAGCACAGAGTCCCAGCACAGTGAGAGCCAACAGAGGGGCTGCCTGCGGCTCACGTGGAGGACGAACCAAGGCCTGGCCTGGAGCAGCTGGACCCTCTGAGGTCCTGGGGTTTGGTGTGTCTGAACCATCTGGGGAGGCTGGAGGTGGTGCCCCAGCTGCTCAGAGACGCCCGGGCAGTGACACCGTGCCACACGCCCCACCATGGAGCGAGGCTCCCGCTGCCGGACACATTTCTTCCCCTACAGGAATGAGGCCTAGTGCTGCCTTCAACACCAGCCACTTTCCAAGGGGGACCCAGGTGACAGCCCCTGAGCAACAGGGAGCAGCAGCAGCAGCAGCGCCAGCCCGGCCCCCCTCGGCCCCAGGGCTCCCGGTGAGCTGGTAGGAAGGGCGGGCCGGGAGCCAACGAGGCAAGTGCAGCTGGCCTTGTGGGCCGAGGACAGGGCGGTCACTAAGGCAGTGCTGCGGGCAGGTGAGTCGAGAGAGAGGAAGGCAGGCGGGGCCCGGGTGTGGATTCCCGGGACCCCGATGGCAGGGGTCGGGCATCCGGCCCAGGGTCATGTGGCCACAGCCTCCAGGTAGCTCTGCAGCTTACGCACGGTGGTCTCATCCAGGGAGAAGAGGTCAAAGTCGAAGGTGGTATTGGTGACATTGAAGTGTCCGGTCTCCTCAATCAGGTTCACAATCTGGAAGGCAGTGGCGGGGCGGCTTCAGAGGACAGGGAGTTGGAGTAGGGTGTCCCCCACCCTCCAGCAGACCCCCGAGGAAAAGGAGGCGGCTCCTTGGGGTTGCAGCAAGGGGTTCCAGCAGCCTGCACAACTTGCAGGCAGCCCCTGCCCCAGGCACTCCTGTGTGGTAACTGGCGCCCTCAGCAGAGCCAAGGGTAAAGGGCAGGCTCTGCCCAGTACCTGCTGCAGCACATTGCGCTCCCGCAGGGCCATCAGCCTCCGGTGCAGCTCCACCAGTTCATCTGTGTAGGCCTGGAGGGGCAGACAGACACTCAGCAGGTGGCCTCGGTCCTTCCAACTGCCCAGCCCTGAGAGAACCCGCCCATGGTCTGGCCCATCTCAGCTGGGGACGCGGGACAGAGGTTGGCCTGCTACTGAGGGGCCAGCACCTTGGCACACCTGGCCTAGCCTGTCCAATTCTGGAGCCCCGGGGTCCCCCCCCCGCCCCCCCAAGCCCCCCACCTTGTCATAGGTGCCCCTCTTGAGGATCTTCTCAGGCTTGCTGCAGGACTCGGGGCTTCTCCGGCCTGACGCCTGCAGAATAAACCCGGTTCTGATCTCAGCTCTTAGCTGCGCCCCTCCCCAACCCCCCACAGGTCCTTGAACCTCCTCAGGGCCACCGCTGACCGTTCGGGGCCAGCCCGGAGCTCTGGGGCTGCCCATCCTCCTTCCTCTGGCCTCCGACTCTAAGGGAAGCCACCCCCGGAAGCAGGCACGCCTCTGGGTCCGGGAGTGAACCAGGCCTCTCTCTGCGCCCACCACCCTCAGCCTGGGATCCTTGGACAACCCCAGGCCTAAGACCTATAAAGGCCCAGCCCTCAGCCCTGCCTCCAGGATGCGACCGAGACCTCCCCACCAGCGCGACTTCCTCCTCTGGGCAGAAGCCCCTTGGAGCGCCCCCTGGGCTCACCTTGCTGTTGGGTGGTGGTGGCTTCTTGGGGGGAGGGGGCTCTCGGCTGGGAAGGCAGGAGTCAGCACTGTTGTCACTGTCGCTGTCACTGAAACTCAACCTGAACAAGGAACACAACGCTGTCAGGCCTCCACCAGCCACCTGCTGCTGCGGGACCTGTGCCTGACTCAGGCTCACCTGACAATGGGAGACCCCTCCCTACGGGCCAAGCGTGCTCCCCCTAGACCTCAGATACCAACTCCACTTAGCTCTGGGCTGCCACTGCCAACATCAAACAAACCAAAAAATGTTCTGGCGCCACCTTCAAAAGGCAAAGAACCCGGAGCCACAGGCATGCTAAGAGGCACGTCTCCATGATGCAGGTCCCCATGACGGCCAGCACCCAGGTGGGACACCCTGTAAGCTGGAAGGACGGGTTGTGCTGGGTTCTGCTCCTTTCACGTGGTTCTGCTATTACTCCTGCAGCCAAGGGAGGTGGGGGGCAGCCTACAGAATCCCCTGAGGGGAACGGAACTTCCCACCTTCGCCTGAGCACTTTGGACGCCAGGACTCCCCAGTGGCACAGGGGCATTCCTGCCTGGGAGGGGCCCTGAACTCAGCGTGTCTGGTGGCGGCGCAAACTCAGACCTCCCGGTGGGCAGGGCCTGGGGGCAGGGGGTGGTTTTCAACCTCTACCTCCATTTCCTCACCCATAAAATGAGGCCCTGGGAATAGTGCACAGGGGAGGGGTGGACTCACAGCAGCCAATGGTACTACCGTCTCAGGAGGCGAGGGGTGTTTGCTCAAAGTTTAAAATCCCTGGCTAGCTAGAACTGGAAAGCCTCTCTTTAGAGAGTCACGATTCTCTCTCATGATCTCAGCCTGGATAAGACAGGCTGGTCCAATCCTTTCAGCTTTTTCAAAAATTTCTCACAGCACAGTGAAAGGGTGTAGAGGAGGCAGATTCCTCTTCCCCACCGCCCCGCCCTCCACCCTGGGAATGGCCTGCTCGCCCGGAGGCCTCCCTCAGAGGAGGGAGGCTTGGTCTGGGATCCCCAGCCCCTTACGGCCATTTGGGTCTGATCCAGCAAGGAGGAGCCTGACAAGCTTTCCCCCCTAACACATCTGCCACCCAGTAAACTCCGCCTGCTGCCTCCTCCCTCTACCTTCAATGCCTCACGTGAAAGCAGAGCCAGGAAGTGCCGGGGATGCTGCGCGGAGCCTGGGCCCCAGGAGCTCCTGTCTCACTCCCCTAAGGCCAAGGTTGCCAGCTTCCTCAGGTAAACCTCTCCCACAGTGAGCACCAGGCCTGGGGATCCCTGCTCTCCTGAGGCCCAGAGCTCTCTCTCCGCGACTTCCCAGATGCAGATCACTCCAGTGGGAAAGGAAGGCTGTGTCTCCTTGTTGCCCAGGCGACGACACGTCAGCCAGACCCAGGATCAGCCCCATTACCCTGCACACCCCTCGAGTCCCCTTCTTCCTAGAGTCCACTAGGTAGCAGCTGGGGGACATGGCAGACTATGGGCCTTCCCAGAGAGCAGAGCAGGATGAGATGAGGCTTGGCCAGCTCCTCCCAACGAGCTGCAGCACCAATGCAAAGTCTGCGTGGCCCCTTCCCTGACGACGGATGCCGTGCCCCTCGGCACGCAGGGAAGCCCCACCCAGGCCTTCTGTGTCTGCTGCTGCGGAAGGACACTCAGGGTGCTTCTGCACGTTTGGTCCCTGCACTGCTGTGGGAGACCCTCAGGAACAGAGCTCTCTCAGCTCCCTGCTCCTAGTGTCCAACAGGAGTCAAAACTGAATGCCAACAGCACCAAACAGGCAGGAGCCATTGCCATTAACCCTGTCCTGGGATACAGGCAGCCCGCCATTGGCCCCTCCACAGCTAAGCTGCCACTTAGGAGCTCTCTGCAGCCACACTCTCTGGACGGTGGGTTTAATCAGCCACACTGACAGACCGCCTAGGAGCACCGTTAGGCGTCCCTGTGCCTGGCACATGCAGATGGGGCGAACGGCCAGGCTTAAAGAGCTGCTGAGGGCTGCAGGCCTTGGCCTCCCAGGGAGGAGGGGCCAACTGGGCCACTGACCCCTTCTTCGCCCCCATGACACACACATGGGGGAAGAGAAAAAGTCCCAAGGCCCAGAAACAGGGACCAGCCCACTTCTGCTCACCCCCACCCCAACTCCTGCCTCAGATCGGGGCTGGCCCTACGCACTGCCTCCCTGTTTCTCAGATGGTGATGGGACTTCCTTCCCTCAGCATCTCCCCTTCCCACCACGCGGCCCCCACCTTCCAACGACAGGAGAAAGCATGCCACCTAAGGCCCTGCACTTCGGGAAACAGGAGAGACCGTCTGGCCACTAGGCAGGGTGCTGCCCAAGAGGCGCAGATGCCTCCTCTGCCCCTACCCCACGGACACCCTGTCCTAGCCTCTCCTCCTCAAGGCCTCACAATCTCAGCACAGCCGCCAGGGTCCCCCACCCCCACCCGGCTCACCCCCCACCAGCCCAGGCACCTGGAATCCCTCCCTGCATTTGTCTTGCCGGCAGCCTCCTCGCCTGATGAAGAGTCATCCTCATCGGACTCCTCAGATTGCAGGTCCTCCACCATGGAGCGCAGGGGTCCTGGGGAGGGTGACAAGGAAGAGGAGAAAAAGCGGGGTCGGGGCTCTGCCTGGGCCCCGAAGGGTCCCTTTCACCTCCAGGGCCACATGAACTTCTTGACACCACAACCCCCAAAATGTACCCCCACAAATCCTCCTACGAAGTCCTTCTGGCCACATGGGGCCTGCCACCCATCTTTCACGGTCTGACCCCAAGGCCACCCTCTGCCTAAGGGACCCTGTGGCTCCCCACATCCCCTACCTTCCTGGTCCTGCTCGTAGGTCTCTGGCCCCTGGCCTGAAGCGGGAGCACAGGGCCCTTCCATTGCCAGAGCCAAAGGGGCAGCCCTGCTCTGATCCTAGCCCTGAGACAGGAGCCTCTGCCTGGAGCCAGGACCAGCCAGCCTTGGGGAGGGCGATGCAGCCAGAGCCTGGGGCCACAGGATTCCCCAGCAGCCTGTGCCCCTACTCAAGCCTGCCCAGTGCCTCAGCAACCCCCTCCGCTGCTCCCAGCCCACCGTCCTCCCCTTTCTCCAGAGGCACCCGGTTCCAGTCCCCTACAGAGGCATCTTTGGTTTATATTCCTGTTACCAAGGCAACAGAGGGACACAAAGCCCTCAATTACCTTGGTCACGTGATCCTGCTAAAGCAGGGCTCCCCCCCCCCCCCCCCCCCCCCCCCGCCGCTTCCCCACAGATAAGAACCCTTGGAGAGTCTGGGCTTCCAGCACCCCATCCCCCAGGCCCCTTCAGCAACTACACATCTGAATTCCAGGTCAGACTCCCCCCACAATATGCTCTCTTCCTCCAGCTTTCCGCAACCCCTAAAAAAGGATTCCAGGCTGTGGCAGGAGGAGACTGTGGGTCCAACCTATCAGAAGAAATGCTTCTAGTCTGAGGGTGAGTGGCAGGGTCAGCAGGGCTGGTGGGCCCCATGCCATCCTTTCACACCTGTGTCCTGCAGGCGGGGAGTGGCCAGGCCTACCCTGCACCTGAGGAAGGCCCCCGGATCTCGGGCAGCCAAGTGGGTCTTACGCCCTTTCCTCCTAACAGCCTCCCCACTCCCGGGGTCCTGCAGGGACAAGGCAGAAATGCAGACTACTGAGTGCCAGCCAAAACTACTCTGGAAGCAGAGCATCCCTGCCCTGATCTAGGAGGGTCATCCCGTGATGGGACAGGGTAGGTAGGGCTGGCAAAGGAACTAATGCCCCTCTGTCTGGGAGGAGCCTGTGAGGAGGGTGTCTGGCTATGGATAGAACCCAAATCACAAAACGGTACAAAACAGATAGGAGGGTTGAGAATAGTACAGGAAATGGAGACGCCAAAGAACTTATATGTACAACCCATGGACATGAAATAAGGGGGGGGGATGCTGGAGGGAATTGGGGTGCTGGGCAGAGGGGGACAAAGGGGAGGAAAAAATGGGACAACTGTTAATAGCATAATCAATAAAATATACTTTAAAATTTTTTTTAAAAAAGGAATAGACTAAAGCATGATTTAAAGACTCTTAAAGAGACTAAACAACTATAGAAGAGGCCATTTATGTAATCAGTAAACATAAATGTTACATATTTTGGAATCTTGAAAACACACACACACAAAACCCAAATCAGAAAGGTGCCCTTGTCCACTGGCCCACAAGCCCCAGCCCCTCATCAGCACAGCTCGAAGCCCTCATCAGACAGAGCGTCCCGAGGGCCCAGGGGACCACCACTAGGAAGGGTGGCACTTCACACACCTGGCTGGCAGTCAGGCGAACTGTTTCTGCTTTTCCTTTTAATACACTCTCCCGCGCTTCTACAACCTATGAATGTGGCTCCCTGGGGGTCCAGTCTAGGCGAGCAGCATACACTCAAAAAATGCCCAGGGTAAGTTCAGCTCAGGTAGGAGGCCCCGGCCCTCCCCCATCACTCCAGGCCCTCCCATCACCCTCACCCCCGCCCCTCATTCCAGCCCCCCCCCGCAGTCACCCCCAGCCCTGGGGTAAGGTATCAATGGGTTTTTCTGGCAGCGGCAGCAGCTGTCAGACCCTGCTGAAGCTCAGGCATGGAGTGAGTCCCCACGGAAGCTACCAGAAATTAAGCTCTCTGACTCTGTAACAAACCCAGAACCCCACCAGCCTCCAGGTGGCGTCAGGGGTTGGTCCCACAGCAGTGAGACACAGGAAACTTCCCGTCTCTTTCTTTCGCCATTACTCACCTTGACTGTGGTTCTGAGATGGCTCAAAATCCGAATCCGAACTGGAGTCGGAGCTGGAGCTAGAGTTGGATGGGCTCGATTGGGCAGACTTCACCCCACAACAGGGGTGGGGTGGGACAGCAGGGAGAAAAGACAAGAATAATCTTTCAGCCCAGGAAAAAGGAGTGGACAAGAAATGCGCTCAGCTTGGTGTCTTGGCGACACTCAGCTGAGTCCTCCTCCAGATATGCACTCACAGAGTGACAAAGGCACCAGGCTCAAGGCACACAGGGGGGCCCCTGCACAAACACACTGCTGAGAACATGGCTTCCTGGGACAACAGGCACCCAGCTCCCACCTCCGCCACTAGCCCCGGGACACCACCAGTTTGCATTCCACAGCGATGGTCTTTCTTTTCCCGCTAAGGAACTTTAAATTTCTAGTAATTCCAGGAGAAGCTCACATCACGTTGCTAGTTTTCGCATGTGCCTAGGCAGGAGGATGGGAATAGGCTCTCCATGAAAGGGGGGTGGGGCAGGTGTAGCATATCTGTTTGTGGGCCCTGCTTTTCTCCTGTGAGGGCAAGAGCAGGCGATGGGGGCTGTGGGGCCGTGGGGGGAACAGAGGAAAGGTCTGGAACAGGAAAGCTGGGTGCAGAGAACCAGCTTCTCATTCTGCCCCTTGTTTCCCCACAGCCAATCCGAAGGCTGAGTGATGACAAAAAGCTATCTCCCTGCCACATGCTGCTGTAACCCACCAGGTGCCCTGAGATGAAGATCAATGTGCATCCCCCTCTTCTTCCTGCAGCCACCCACCCCGACTCAGCCACCAGGGGGCAGTAAAAGCTAATACCAGGCCAGTAGGCCTTAGGATACATAGGGTAAGTTGAGGAGCTCCTCCCTGGGTGGAAAGGAACAGGTGGTTTCAGACCACTAGTCAGGGAAGGAGCCTCTGGCCTCCCCACATGGAGTACTAAGCTAGAACAGGGGCTGTGGTTTCAGCCAACCAGCAGTTCAGAAGGTGTGTATGGCAGAGCAGGGCACGGGTCGGTGGCACAGACTCTGAAGGGCAGGAGGACAAAGTCCGCCCTGGACCAGAGCATCCTGGACACCTGGGAGGCCGCTCCACCCCTAGCAAGCCTGTCCGTGGGGTGGGACCATCTGGAGAAATGGAACAACTTGAGCATGTGGAACCAGCCACCTCTGGGCACCTCCCCTTGTCAAGAAAAGAGGGGACCAGGAGACAGGCAGAGGCAGCATACAGTGTCTGATCAGTCCTGGCAAGTGTCATGTGAGAGGAGACCCCAGGAAAGCAGGGGCTCAGCAAAGTCTCTCCTGATGGTTTTTGGGCCCAGAGCAGCTACCAGCCTGCAGAGTGGACCCAGGAAGCCCCAAATCTCTGCTCACTTGATAGACCAGAGAGTAATCAGGCCACCTGGGGACAGAACACCTGTCACCTGAAAAGTTAAGGGGCCTCTTGTCTAGAGTTTACCTGGGTCTAACCCACCTGCTGCAGGCCCTCCCACCGGGCCCCTGCAGGTGCCCCCAACTCACATGCCTCCAAGCACCCAGCTGGAGAATCCCTCAGGGAGAAGCCCTGCCAGACTACCATCAACCACTGTGCACTGTGGGGGTGCCGCAGACCAGCATGACCCCTCCAACCCCCAGCCACGGGCCTGCAGCATGGTGGGCCCTCTGGCATGCAGATTCAGTTCTAATTCTGGCTCAGGGGTCTTGGTTCTGATCCTGGCTTTGTCATCAACTGGCCAAGGCCATCCTTGGCTTCAAGACTCAGTACCCCTATCTGTAAAAGCTGCAGCCTCTGCTAAGTGTGTGTGCCAGCCGCCAGCACAGGGAAGCCAGTGCCCACCATGCCTCTGCTGCCCGGGGCCGAGAATCTGGAGCCAGGGGCATGAGCAGCAGGGTCCATGAGAATGACAGAAAACAGCAGGGCCAGGACAGGAGCTGCACCCAGGTGGTGACTGCCTAGTGTGCAGGCTCAGGGCCGCGTGTGCCGGAAGTGGCGGGGGGTGGGGGTCGGGTGGGGCTAGCAAGTCAGGCGAGCTCAGATGCATTTGACCCTTTTCCTTCCACACAAATCCGAGGGGTGGAAATGGTTTTTGCCCAAAGAGCCTAGAGGTGTGGGTCACAACGCCCATGAGGGGTCACTACGAGAGGTCACTGCGAGTGCTCCTGACGAGTGCCAGTGCTTGGCCACATGCAGTGTCCAGCAGGAGGACAGAGGGGCCTGTTGTGCTCTCAGTGCTCCTGTCCATGACTGAACAGGCCCCCTGGGCCACGGATACCACAGAGAACCAGCTGGAGGAGCTCGGGGCTCCGACAAGGAGCTTCCCAACCCCCTCTTGCCCAAGCGGGATGAGGCAACTCAAATTTCAGGCAATAGCCAGAGCTTCCCAGCAGTGGCACCCTACGCAGCCTCCAGTGTGATGTGGCCTGAGGCAGTCAGGAGAGGCTGGGAGGTCCAGGTATGAAAAGCTCTCTCGCCTCTTCCACTATAGATGTCTGTGCCTCACCAGCGTCCTAGGGTTGGGAAATGTCCTTGAGTCACAGGCCTGCAGGCCTAGAGACCTCCAGGCACCCTCCTGACGGCCCAGGTCTCACACCTGCATGACCTTGAGTGGCTAAGGCTTGTCATTCAGAAGTCTCTCAGGGCTGGGAAGCACTTCACCCAAGAGAAACGCCCCACGCTTCCAAGAAATTCCAGCTTCAGGTCCAAGGTATCCAAGATCATAGACACCAGACATCCAACCCACTGAGCAGCAGCGCCCCGGGGTCGGGGCGTGGGGAAGGCTTCCCACACAGCATCCCAAGTCTCACAGTGATCAGAGCCGGATGTCACTGAAGACACCGGAGGCATCAGGTGAGGTCTCCACCTCTTATCCAACGGAGGAAACCAGCCTTGGGCACAGAAAGGCCTCGCCGGGAAACATCTAGGGGGGAAGGCGGGAAAGGCACTTGCCCAGAGCTCCAGGTGCTGAGAGGATGACACATGATAGACCAGGTTGCTTTTTAGCATCCAAAGAACCTGCAACAGCTGAACAGGATACTGAGATGGCCCTGGAAGGCCAGGAGGCTTCCAAATAAGAAATGTTCCAAGGTCCTGACACCTTAGGTTCATTGGCAGACGGTGACTCCTGGCTGTGAGCAGTGCTGAGCACACGGCATCACTGGCCCCATGTGCACTGTTACCCATGGACCGAATCGTCACCCCCAGCGCTGTTGCCTCCAATGGGGTACCCCCCTGGAAACCACACACTCATGACATTGGTGTTGCTGATACAAAACAGCTCTAGCTTCTTGTCTGGGAGCCACTTTCAAAGTCCTGATGGAGCCCTGAGCAGCAGAGCTAGAGGCAAAGCTTCAGCCTTTGAGAGTGAATGAAGACTGGGAGACAGCAAAAGGCCACTGAGCGCCAGTGTGGTGCTTCAGGTGAGGGATCACTCACTCACTCACTCATCCATCCATCCAGGCACCTGTCCTCCGACCACCAGATGCCAAACACAGCACTCAGAGCTCATCACCACCTGGGGCCCCAGTGAGGTCTGGCCACCCATCAGCAGTCCAGCTATGGGCCCCTTTGTGGCTCAAGGGGTCTCTCAAGGCAACCTGCAGAGAGCCACCTGGAAACACTGCTGCAGAAGCAGCCCAGAGCCTCTCACAGTGACAGGGTGCCACTCCCAAAGAGGAGCCTTGCCTATTCAAGATCCCTGTGTCTGGGCTGCTTGGGCAGGAGCGGACAGGTGGTAGGGGTGGTGAGGCCTCAGACTTCACTAGCCACGTGGGAAGGAAGCCGGGGGAGGTGCAGTGGCCTGCGTTAAACTTCCACACTGGGAGAGCAGGATGAAGACAAAGGCATACCCTGCTGATAAAGGGAGCGACTTCCCAGACAGACCAACCACGTGGTGGCTGGGGAAGGGATGAAGAGCGAGGCAGTCGCTCACTCTGACCCCCAAGCATAAAGACCCTGGGCCATGCAAGGGGCTCCCAAGGTAAAGAGCTTGGAACCCAGGTACCAGACTGTCGTGCTTTACCAGGACCATCCTTCTCTAAGCACTATTTCCACAGAGCCCTCACAGGCAGGCTTTATCACCCTTGACAGAAGAGGAAACCGAGGCAAGTTGCTCAGGAGGCGCTCAGGTGTGCCCAAAGCTACAAGGAGCAAGTGGGAGCCCCGCACCTGGGGTTGCAGACCCCTCATCTAACCTTTGGGCCGACAACGCTTTCGGTGGTTCAGAGACGGAAAGAGCATGAGGATGGAGGTGACAGGTTCCACGGGGGAAAGGAGGCACCTCACCTCTGTCTTGAAGGAGGCCTCATCCTCCGAGTTGGACTCCTCCACCTCCAGGGGCTTTTTGATCTCTCGGGGCTCACTTTCAGCCTTGATCTTCTCCACTTTGACACTGCCCTTATCCTTAGCCGACTTTTTGTCTGAGAAGGAGGAAGACGAGGTGCGGGGCGAAGTGCCAGGGGTGCTCCTGGACCCCTTAGAGCTGCTCTTCTTCTGTTTTTTGGCACTGGGCTTGGGTGAGTCGGCGGCAGCTGGCCGCTTACTGGAAGACTTAGGTTGGGGTGGTGGCGGGGGGCCGCCCTTGGGGGACAGGCTCTCCAGTTTGGTCTCCTTCAGGGCCATCTTGGGCTCCTTAAATGCAGCCTTGGGTGGTGGGGCCTTCTCCTCCTTGGGTGGCCGGCCCTCAACCAGCTTCCGCGTTGTGTCCTTTGCACTCCGAGCCTGCTCACGCTCTGGCTCCTTGGAGGGGCCCTTGCTCTCCGAGTCTTTGCGTGGCCGCTCCCGGTGCTCCTTGGCCGCCTTGTGGGCCTTGCAGGCCTTGCCGCTCTCCCTGCTGGCGTCCTGAAAGGTCGGGCGGGAAGGGAGAAGACAGTCAAACGGCATCTCAGGCCGCCCTGCTCCACCTCCCCCAACCCCTACAAAGTATAATCCACCTGGTTCAGACTCAGCTAGAGAAAATCTTCCAAAAAGCGAAAAAGTAAGGTAGCAGGTGAGAGTTTTAAATGGAGCTGTCCCTTTAAACTACTAGGAAGTGTCAGCAGGTCCCAGGCGACTGCAGGCTAAGACTCCCCTCTGAATTGAACTGACATTCCCTGAGGGATTCAAGAAGAGCACACATGAGTCAAACAAAGGCAGCCACACAGATCCCTCCCGCTCCAACACCTTCAGCTCCCCACTGGGGCTGCCGGCAGGCAGTCCCCCCTCTTCTGTCCCCACCGTGGAGCCTGAGTGTCTCCTGCCTGGTTGTCCCAACCCAGCCTGTCCAGCCAGGCATAACGGTTCTCTGACCCCCACAGTCAGCACTCACTGACCGCCTGCTGGGCTCCCAGGCACTGTGCAGGACCCACAGCTCCTGACTTCTTGGAACCGAAGCTGCCTGAGCAGCTTTTCTACAACATGTATGGTTCCTGGGAAATTCAGAGGGTTCAGGGTGGATCAGTCAGGTCACGAAGTCCTGGCTGGGGACAGAGGCAGAGAGCAGCCTTGCTCCAGGCTGCCAGGAAAGCTGGGCCAGATGACGCCAACCTTGAGCGCCAGTACTTCCTCTGAACAAGGACAAGACCACCTACCTCACCAGTGATGACAGAGAGCACTCAACCATGCAGGCTACAGCCAGCTCCTCACAGAGCATGCCCTTTGGGTAGAAGCCTGGTTTGACACCTTGTTTGCCTCCTCCCTGTCAACCTCCCTTTATCACCCTGCACGTACAGGATTGCTGGACAGGTGCCTGCTGCTGTCAGCTGCCAAGGGCTCCATACCCCACTCTGTCAGCTAGGTGAACAGCTGGCTTCAGCGGCTCTCCAGATCAAAGCTCACCAGCAAACCAACAGTGGCCAGACCCCGGAGGTGGTATGCACCACCTGAGGTAGCCACACTTTACCAGCTCACCCATGTGCCGAGGGGACGGGCAGGCCAGCTCAAAGCCCAGCAGCGAGGCCTCTGTGTCCTGCTCTCCCGGCCCATAGTAAAGAGGTCCGGGAACAGATGGCACGGCCTCGACCACCTCAGATCTACTTGGTCACTGTCTTCTTTAAAATCCTCGGCCCACGTCAGTGCCAAAGGTTCAGAGACAGCCATGTGTGGCCGTGGCTCTCGCTGCCTCCCTGGAAAAACACGGCTCCTGGGCCCCGGCCCTGGCTCTTCCGTCTCCAGGGCAGTGGGGACAGGTACTCACACCACAAGCTCCCGCTGGCCATCTAAAGGGGGTGGCCCCTTGGGGCTGGTGTGTGGAATGGGGCCAGTCCCTGGGGGCTCCATTCCCCAGAAATCTGCTCCCCTGTGGAGGGAGGCAAGAAGAAGACCCAACATGTGATTCCAGCCTCTTCTTGAAGCATCCACGCACCTTCCAGGCCACAGGAGCTGGCCCCAGCTCCAGGAGGCAGGATGAGAGCACACCCGATGGGTATGACTGCCAAAGGCCTCAGCACAGTTCCCACTGTTTCCCCCAGACCTGGGGTCAGCTGAGCCTCTTTTGCCCAGCAAACAGGGGCCTTCCAAGCAGCAGCTCTTCACCCGGGGGTCTGTACAGATGCTCAAGACTGGGCTCTCTGAAATCACACACTAAGTTCTGAGAGTAATGTGGATGTTCCCAGGGGATAGGACTCCTCACAGTTGTGTTTTTAAAGCTGTCAAAGATTCATATATGGCTAAGAACCAAGTTTCGGTGAAAATCACTCAGGCCAAGTGGCTGATGTCACACAGGCAGAAGCCTCAGGTACGTAAGTCCAGGGGTACTCTGGGGTGGGGACCAAAGGGAAGGAACACTATCCTCGAAGTATGAGCCTTCAGGGGTCCCACTCCTCTCCTAGGAGGCTCCAACTCCTGCTAACCATGCTACTAGTCAAGGAGCCATGAGGTGGGGAAAGACCACCCGTCACCAGTCCGCCGAGGGCTACAAGAGCCATACTCTCCAGCTACCCCCAGCGTGGGGACCCTGACAATCAAGGCACTGCATGGCCAACCCTTTCACCCCACTGCCTGGAGAATGTGACCTGGCAAACAGACTCTTTGGGTCCAAGCAGCAGATAAGTAATCTGGGAGGCACAGACAGTACCCAAAGGAAGGTCTGCATCTGAAAGAAGAGGCTGGTGCACAGGCCTTACCCTCCTAGAAGAGCAGAGTGAGGCTCTCGACTCAAAAGCCAGGACTGGATGATAGGCAGAGGACGCTTCCAGCAGAGAAGAACCTGCTTTGTGCTGCCTGAGACACCTACACAGGAGCCTCCCACGCCACGCCACCCAGGAGGCTGGAGAAGGATTCTGGGAACCGGTTGGAATGGAGACCAAGAACACTGCCGACAGGCCTCTGAGCCGGGCACATACAGCCATCTAGCCTGGGGACTACTGGGGGGTCGCAAAGACATTCCAGTGAGAGGCGCCATGAGCCACCCCGCAGATGCAGCTCCACTGGTCACAGCAGCGTCCTCACCACCTGGAGGGCGCCTCTTCATGGGATTTTGGGTGATTCACAAATGACATGTACAGGAGAAATGACAATTCCCACCCTTCCTATTTTGAATGGACTTCCAGACAACTGTGAGAGGCTGAGAGAGGAACTGCCAAGATCACTAGCAAGAATTTCTCTTCCATTTGACCTCCACGAGACTCAGGAAAGATGGGCTGGGAGGCTGGCATGGGGAAGACTCTCAGAGCTGCACTCCACACTTAAGACTATGGCCTTACGCATTGCAAGGGCTTAAGTCACATGAATCTGAGGATTTCAGAGACTGACTGGCCCGAGGAAAGTGCCAGAAATGCCCTGCCTGGGTGACGTGGCACTGCTCACGAGGAAGGCTGTAATTCGGCCTGAGAGCTCCATCTGTCCCACCTGGTGTGCCCCCGGCCCACAACACCCAAAAGGTGAATGAATGAAGAAAACTGCAAAGATGAGAAGCGGATAAACTTGTGGGGTCAATGATGCAAAGACAAGCAGCTGCCCTGAGAGGCAGATGGAACCTGGCCTCCAGGACAAGAAGCTGTGTAGGCGGCTGCAGGGGAACGAGACGAACACTCAGGAGGTTATGTGTACACCGTGACACCATCAGAAGGTCTCTGGCAGCTACTCTGAGATAATTCAGAGAGCAGTCTCAGGAAGGCTGATGGGGCTGAGTGAAGATGATAAAACATTTCTTCTTGGGGAAAGTCAATTCACTCGCCAATATGGTTCTACCAGGCCCTTTCCTGAAGTAAGCTTTCTCTGCCAGGAGTTGCCGCCAAAGAAAGAAGCCAAACCTGGAACACCCAGGGGGGAAGCACCCAGCCCTGGTGGACAGAGCATCCTGGCTGCACTCAAAAGGCCTGAGAAGGTAGGCAGTGGTGGCTGCAATGGACACACTCTGTCCAGGCTCCCAACCATGAGAGACTATCTTGGGGTTCTGACTGAATGGTCCTAAGCCCACTGACTCAGCGGGAGGCAGGACGATGGGGAAGGCTCTCTGGCCTCAAGAGGAGCAGGGTGAAGAGCCTGTGACTGCTAGGCTGTTTTATGCCTGCAGGAGGGGCCGACCGTCCTGACTAAGAGGCAGAAAGTAGCCACAGGGAGCAGAGAGGGCTCCAAGAGGAAGATGCCAAGGGAAAGAGTTCAGGGATGGAGGGTCCAGCTCTGCGGAGGGAGCGCCCTGAGCCCAGGACCCTCTGCTGGGCCCCAGTGCTCCCATGTGACTGGGCCTTCCACCTCACTAACCTTGGAGCCGTGGGACGGTTTGGTCTTCTTGGGGTCAGAGAAGGCAGAGAGTGGAATTGTGGGTAACATGGGGTAGTCAGGACTGGGCCTGGACACCGTTTCTGCTCCTTCGGGCATTACCATCACCTAGTGATAAAGAAGAGACAGATGTTATCAATGAGCAAGGAGGTAGGCTGGAAATCCGATGGGTAAGAGGAAGTCGGCTTGCGGGAGTGCGGCTAGAGGTGTCCAAGCTTCCTCCTAGGGGAGGGGGCCAGGGAGAGCCTGGGTGTCACTTTCCCAAAAGAGTCAAAAGGCATTTTCCTCCATGAGGGTCTGGGTGCTGAGTGCTCAGAGTGAAGCAGGCTCATGGTGGAGAACAAAGAGAAGCGGGGTCCCAGGATGGCTGGGCCCGGGTGCAGTTGGCGCAGTCTCGAGTGGTGGGCCCTGGGCCAAGAAGACTGGCAGTGTGTCTGAGAAGCACAAGGAGGCAGCTGTGGCCAAAGCTGGCCTGCGTGCTGCGGTTAAGAAAGATCAGAAGCACGAAGGCAAGAAGCCAGGCAGACACCCACTCTGGAAAGGCGTGCAGTGGAGAAAGCAGCTTCTGCTGGACATGCGTGCACGTGACTTCGCCAAGTCCCACATCTCCTGGGGTAGCCTTACTCCTCCACTCTGGTGAATAAAGTTGACTAAAACAGGGAGTGAGCAGCAAGGCCGAGACAGGAGGGAACTGCACGGGGGCAGGCCCAGCTCTCCGCAAAAGCCACCTCGCTGCAGCCTGCCGGAGAGGGACGTGAGCTCTGCCCTTTGTTAACTACTAGGAGGAGGAAGGGCCTGGGCTCCTGCCAGTAGGTGCTCCCGGAAACACCTGCCCAGGTCCAGTGAGGCTCCTATGGCACCTGCTGAAGGGAGAGAAGACCCAGGGGCAAGTTCTCAAAGTATTGACACTGGAAGTTCACACTATTAGTGGTCAGCCACTCAGAGGGAGCCTTCCAGATGGCAACAAGGCAGAACAAAAGAATGAAGATCACACTTTAAAAAAAAAAAAAGGGAAGAAAGAAAGAAAAAGCTTTTAGCTTTAATAATCTTGAACGCCCAGGATCCCTGACAAGCCCAACCTTTCATCTGAGGAGGCTGACGTAATGCCCACTCACGGTCATGGGGACAGCGGGTTGAACGGAGGGTAGTGAGGCCCTTTGTGCCACTCCAGCCCCCACCCCTGACTCTGAGGCAGTGAGGCCCGAGGCCAAGTTGCTCATCAGAGCTTGCCTCACCCTAACACCCTTAACCACAGCACCCAGAACCCAGCTGACCCTGGCCAGCATGGTCGAGGACCACCAGGTCTCAGGAAATCACCACACTCGAAGGCCAGCAAGGACACGCTTGAAGTTAGAGAAGTGACTGACAGCCCAACCCAGGAGAACAGACGAGTCTCCTCGGGGGCATGAGTCCATTCCCTCAAGGACCGTGCCTTCTCCCTTTGTTTTCATTTCTCTTCCCTCCTTCACAGAAATGCCTAGACTGATGCTATGCCAGGATAATGCAGTGAAGGCCTTGCATCTTTCTCTCCTTTCTAACAGCCTTTTGAAAAAAAAAAAAGTAAAGTGAATAAATGAACCTCCTTCCACCTCTAGCACAGAGCTCCACGAGGACGTGTCTCACATAATGGAAATACCCTCGCCAACAACGGGGCACTGGATGAGACACGATGCTGAGAGGACAAGCAGGGCTGGCCTCTGTCTAGAAAAGTAACCAAGCCACTCTGGTCACCGCTGAGGAAGCCCCTGAACCTCATGCGAGGAAGCATAGAACTCGCATGCCCTCCAGTGAGTGGCCGTAGAGAAAGCAGTTCTCATTGACTTACAGATCACGTGGTCCTCCAGTTCTTCTAGCATGAGCGTCACCACAGGCAGGTCTGGGCTCATTCGCTACTAGATGGCAAGTGTCAGCCCCACTGGGAACACTCAGAGCTCCAGACCAGCTAACACAAGGGCCACAACTCAGATCTCAGGGGCAACTGTCCCACAAAGGTCCCGGGCTGTTCTTAAGACCAAAGAGCACTGTTCTTGTCACCAGCCCACAGCAAGCCCCAAAGGCCTACAGCCCCAAAGGGCAAGAAAGTTCCTGACCGGACAACCAGCTCTCTGGGCAGCCCTCACCAAGGGTGAAGAGAGCCAAGCAGAGACCACCACACCACCACCCAAGGGCCTCACTCTCCCTTCCTTTTCCCTGGGCTGGCCCTTCCCAAACTGCAAGGTGGACCCGCCACCCCAACCTCTCTCCCTCAACTTCTCATGCCTCCTCCTCCCCCACTATTCCTCCAGTTTTATAGGGTTAGATGATGCATATTGAGCCTTCATCTCTTCAGAGCAAAGAAAACCTCCTGATGTGAGAAACAGAGGGGGACACTCCCTTGGTCCTAGAGCTCTAAGAGGCCCAATGGAATGCTAGCTGACTGAGTGTCTGTCTCCCCAGGTGTAACTATGAAACCTCTGGGTAACGCCTTAGGGACATGTTCTGGAAAGCAAGGTAGAGATTGAGCTAAGGAAGACTGCTGACCCTGAAAACCCCTCCCTGCTTCCTTGATTCTTCCAGAACTCCCAGGCAACTGTCTATGTCAATTGATTCTAACACCTTCCTGTTCTGTTACCAACTCCACCAGTAATCACATGCTAGGTCCAAATCCCAGACTAATCTTTTGTTAGGGACATGAAAGAAATCACTCAAATTTCTTGCAATAAATAAATAACTGCTTACTAAATTAAATGAAGAGGAAAGGACTGCTCCCTAGACCAAGGAAACTCAGCCCAAACTCCTTATATTCACTGGGGAAGTGGGCCTGCCCCCCCCCCCCCACACACACTCTTTCTCTCTCTCTCTCTCTCTCTCTCCCCCCCCCGCCCCCCTGCCCCACCCTCGACTTGAACCTGAATCCTCCACTGCAGGCACTGTTGGCAGCGAGGCAAATGCTCAGTGACTTTGGGTCACTAACAGGTGGCTTTGGGATGTCCTGTGTCCTCAGCCCACGCCTCCCTCGGCACACACAATGCAGCCTGCAGCCAAATGCTCTGCCTCCTCCACAACCAACCATCCATAAGCATCAAGTACCCCACCCACATTCTCCAAGAGCTGACACATGCTTCTGGCAGTCTGCCACCACACCAGGATTGCTGGCCACACGACTCACTACAGAGACCTAGGCTCTGAGAGCTGACACCTTCATCTGGCCCCAAGAGGACAGAACTGCCAGGCAGCGTGCATCATCAGGGACCCCACAGAGAGCTGCTGCCATTTTCCTAGGTGACGGGGGCTCCAGCAAGGCCTGGTCGATCCAGTTAAAAGCTGGCTCCAGCGTCTCACCATGTGGACAGGATGGCCTCACACCCATTCTTCCCCCACCTCTTATGGAAGAAGATGCTAATTAATCACAGTCAACCAGGAAGCTGTGGGGATAACTAGCTACCGGTCATTCCCAGCTGACAACGCCCCAGCACAGACCGGGGACCCCTGGGTCCTATCCAGCGCTGCCAGGTGCTACCTGCACAATCTGCCCCGCGGGGTATCAGGGAGGTGCTCAACCACAGGCTGGAGAGACGAGCCCGGAGATCCCAGCACCAAGGCTGCCACCACAGGGGGCGGAGATGCATCCAGGGCAGAGGAGCTGCGCCTGTTCATGCAGGGGCAGGGCCCGCCCGCTCCGGCACACTCACCCCGCCGGCCATCAGGAGCTTGTATCGGAACTCAATGGTGGGGTTGTTGAAGGTGAGCTTCTCACAGCGCAGGTGGTTTACAGGCGGGTTGCCCTCCAGGTTCAGGAACAGGTCATAGGTGAAGCAAACCTTCCTCGGCTCCTCCTTGAACAAAGAAAACAAGGAAATCCGTTTCAGAGGGTGGACAGGAGACGCAGGGACAGACATGAGACAGAGGTGGAAGTACTGCCAACCCCTACCCTTCTTTCTCGTTTGCTTGGCCTCCACTTCTCTTTCTGTGCACCTACTTCTCATCCACCCAGTTATCCAAAATGAATTACCTTACTCTGCAGAGAACCCAGCAAAGCAGGCTCCACAACAGAAGCAAAGACCATTAAGAATGATGTTCTCAGACCATTAATGGAAATATTGTTGCTAATGGTGTGTGCAGCCCCCCACCACACACTGCCCCTTGAGCCCTCACAGCACCCACCAACAAATGGAGAAACCAAGGCTGGAAGGTGCACTGCTGCTACGTGGCTGTTCTGAGACCTGTGGGCAGGCTCCAAGGCCCACGGTCCTAGGGCCTCCACCCATCCCTCTCCCAGACGGAAACTTTCTCCGAAGATACACAAACCACCAATGGGCACACGAAAAGATGTTTAACATCACTAATCATTAGGAAAATACAAATCAAAACCAGGAGAGACCACTTCACACTCACTAGGATGATGAGTATTTAAAAAAAAGAAAAGAAAATAACGAGTGTTGGTGAGGACATGGAGAAACTGGATCCCTGTGCATTGCCAGCAAGAAGGAAAAATGCCACCATTCCTTTGGAAAACAGTCTGGGAATTCCTCAAAATGTTAAAATAGAATACCTACCTTTATGACCCATGTATCTCTCCTAGATATATAACCAAGAGAAATGAGAACATATATCCACACAAAAACTTGTACATCCACATCCACGGCAGCATGATTCACAAAGGCTCAAACTGAAAACAACCCAGTGCCCACTGATGGAGGAATGGATAAACACAACTCAGCCCATCCAGACAACGGAGCCATGAAAAGGAGCGAAGCATCGACACTAGTTACAATGACCTTGAACACATGGTGCTCAGTGAGAGAAGGCAGGCACCAAAGGCCACACAGCGTGTGGTTCCATGTGTGTGAAATGTGCAGGACGGGCACATCCAGAGACAGGAAGTGGATTCATGGGTGCCAGGGGCTGGTCAGGAGGACATACAAGCTAACTGCTAATGGACTCTTTCTGGGGTGATGAAAATACTCTGGAATTAAGAAACTGTGTTCCACAACACTGTGAAGACACTAAAAATCACCAAATGTGTATGCTTGTAAGGGCAACTGTTCTGGAATGTGAATTACACCCCAATTTTTAAAAAATGTTCTCCACTGGGAAAGGAAAAAACTAGGAGTATGGGAGTCAGTGAAGGTTTCCAGTGATTCAAAGGAGACTTGAGATAGGTCAGTCAAGGAAGGGAGGGGAGTGAAGTGGCTGAACCCCTCACACAGGCATTTCCACGCCTTCTCTTCACTCCAACCCTGGGGAGAGAGGGAGCAGAGACAGGCTCGGCAGCCTGGCCAGCCCTCCTCAGCCTCCCCAGGAAAGCCTGCCTGGTTCACATGAGCAATGCCAGGCTTTTCGAACCCTGGTGAATGGGTGGCACCCGAGAGTGGGAACCATCTGGGCATATGTCCACTTCTAAATAAAGGAGATAGGAGAGGGGTCCTCCCATCTACCTGGATGACTCTGTTCCCCCATTCATGCCACAAAGGTAGAAGGCACAGCTGCCACATGAAGCAGCTGCAGATCCTGCCTTCCAGCAGCTGCGAGTCTAGCGAGGAGACTAGTAAACAGGTGCTCTTGAGCCACTGTCAGCCAATGAGGTGACACGAACCTTGCCCCTTCCCACAGCCCCTGGTCTCAGGACGCAGGGGTTTCTACCTCAGCCCATCTAAACCAGACCTGGAAGTGTCCCCCTTGTCCTGGGTGGGGAGATGAAATATAAGGGGAGGGGGTGTCAGCCTAGGGAGGGCTTTCTTTCTCAAATCAAAAATAAAGGTGCAGGGAGAAAGTGTCAGCGCCCCTCTTCTTCCTCCCAACCTGTGTGATGCAACGTCAACCACAGGAGGACCACAGAGGAAGCCAGGGGAGTCTCACGTAGGCAGCTCTGACGGCATGGAGCTGCTTCCCTGAGGCCATCAGCTGCCTGCTGACATCTAGTCAAGCAGGTGCCCCTCTGTGCCAGCACTGTTTCATGCCCACCCTTATAAAGGGCATGTCTCCCCACCAAACTGGGAAGTTCCTGGAGGAAGGGGCTCTGGGGACCCCCGCCTTATGCCTGCCACAGGCGCCAGCCCAGGGGAGGTGCTTCATATTTGCCAAAAGAATAAAGTGAGAGGACAGATAAGAGAAGGGCCTGACCCAACAATGGGGGTGGGGAAGGGGCCAGGAAAGCCCCCTGGATGCTGTGATGAGCTCGGAGAATGGCTATGAGTTGGTGAAGTCAGGAAGGGTCGGGGGGTGGGGAGAAGCGCTAAAGGCCACAGTATCCTCTCTGGGAATCCTGAGAGTCCACATCGTGGCAGTCAGAAGGGGCGGATGCAGAGCAGTGGCAGCAGGTGACCCAGAAAGAAGGGCCTTGGTTGCCACTGGGAGGGAGCTGTGTCCTGGGGCAGAGGGGTCTACAGGGACTTAGGCTCAGGAAGAACAAACCCAGATCCATGACCCAGGAAACAAACACCCTGTGGCCTGCAGGACATTGTGACTAGGAGCAGGGTTAGAAACCCTGGCAAATAAAGGGGAGGAAAGCTCAGGCATCTGTCCTGCCTTTCCCCAGCGTAACCCCACAGATGAGAGGTACGCTGCACAGACGTGTTCCAGCCCCTGTGTGGAGAACGAATGACCTCGTCACGGCTCGATGACCCTTCATGGGTCAGTAATCTGGGCACTGCCCACCAGCCGCTGCCCACATACATCACACACACAGACCACCAGACAAGGCTGATGCCACCTCCCAAACAAATCTCACCTCCAGACTCAAGTTCAAATTGACAAGGAATACACAAAGTAGGATGGTGCTAAATAAACACCACAGGGATGAACGCAGCAAAAAGCCTGACAGTACCAAACTCTACAGGGCAGTAGACCCAGTTTCTTCAACAAACTGCCAAGAAAAACATGATAGAGGGAGAATCTACAGATTAAAAGAGAAAAACTCATGAATCATAAAGTACAGATAATACCTAGATCCTGACTCAAACGGAAAAAAAAAATCTTTAAGCACTGGATATTAAGAAATTTTGAATCTGTAGGTGTGACACTGGTACTTTTACTATAATTATTCTTAAAAAGCAGTCCGTATGTTTCAGAGAACATTCTGGAGTATCGACACGTAAAATGCAGATGTCTGGGAGTGGTGGGCAGGGATGGACCAAACGTAGCCATGTGACACACTGGAACCAGGCAATGGCTACAAGAGGGCTTCGCTCCACCTACTTCTGTAGGTGTTTTAAACTTTGCCAGTAACTTTTTGAGTGGATACAAGGCGATGGAGCTGCACATTCAAGAGAAGCTCGATTCAGGGAACCTGTCAGGGAGGAGAGGGTGCCCTGGGTCCTCAGGGACACCAGCAGGAGGTCGGCAGGCAGCTGGAAGGAGTGGCGAGGCGGGGGCTTGCCCTCACTGGCTGCCTAGCCTTGCTCACAGGCCTGCCATCCTGAGCCTTGGTTTCTTAACCTGTAACATGGGGAGGATTTGAGGAGACAATGCAACCGAGGCACTCAGCTCAGTGCCATCAATAAATGGAAGCTACTCTTTTTACCAGAAAGAGATCTGGGCTAGAGGAGGACACCTGGTAGACACAATAGACAGATGGACCTGAAGCCACATGATTCCCCAGGAGAGAAATAGAGGGACATTAAAAGGGCACTCCTCAGCTCTGCCAAATACGGGAGCACCCCAAGGCTCAGCAGCAGACCTTCCTCTCCTCCCCGCCCTCTCTGGCTGACCCCAGGCTCAGCCACAGCTTCACCTTCTGGCTTCGTGGTAGGCCCAGCTTCTTCCTGGCTCCTCAGCCAGCCTTTCCCCATCTCCTTGGATCATTCACACCTCCTAACCATCCAGCTGCTTCTGTGACAACCCCCTTTTAATCCACAAAGTTTAAACCAGCTCTTGGCTTACCCCCAACCCACTTCTTCAAAACCTGCCAACGACCTCCCTCTGAGCCTTGTGCCAAGGCTGAACCGCCACCACAGCCAGTGCGATCTGGCCATCTCGGGCCGTGCCGCTGTCTTCTACTCGCCCCTCCAGCTCTCCCTCTGGCTGGCACTCGTCCTCTGGCAGGCCTTCTTGGATCACTGTCCCCAATCACGGTGTGTGATTCACTCTCATACATAGAACTAATCCAGGCCCACAGGGTGAATGTCTGTTTTCTGTCCATCCACCCCAATGGACTGTGAGCACTGCAGACAAAGGGACCCTTTTTGGTTTCTGGTGGGCCTGGAGCTGCCCGAGCACCTCGGTCTGTTCAATGTGCCCACATACTCATTTACCCTACAAAAGCGCAGTGGGCGCCTGCTGTGCGTGCAGCAATGACTAAGACCACAGAGGGGCCTCTGACCTTGCGGACACAAAGGGTCTGTAGACAGACTTGCCACAGCAGCGATGCTGACATGGCACTGACTTTATACTACGGCCAGGCACTTTTCCAGGCACTTAATATGTACGAAAGCTTCACAGCCCAAAACACAGGTGCTCTTCCTGTCCCTATTTCACAGATGAAGAAACTGATACAGAGGCAGTAACCTGCCTGGTGCCACATGGCTGGTCAGTGGTGAGCCAAACAAGATTTGCTATAGGCAGGCGGTATTCTCTGGGACCCCTGGGGAGGATTTCATGCCTACACAAACCCAACAGGTCAAGGCAACAGGAGACCAGGAACTGAGTTCTGTACGACTCCCCTGAGAGGGGAGGTGCAGGGCAAAGTCATGGGCAGCATCAGAGCCAGGCAGGGGCCTCCCCGAGGGACCAGCATGTGCCCTGCAGCTGATGTGCACCTCAAAGCACACTGAGAAAGGCTGACCAGAGCCCCCTCTCGACAAGCCCGAGAACTTTGGGAACTCCCAGGAAGGCGACC